TCTTTCTTTCCTTTTCCCTTGAGTGACAGTCAAGGCTGCCTTTTTTTTATTCTGTCTGATGGAGGACTGGGTAACAATCTGTCTGTTGTCTCTCAGGCAGATTCTTCTCTCAGTCCCAAGCCTGGCCTCTGGCCTCACGAAGCCATTGGGCAGATCTCATTGCCACCAGCAAGGGCACCTTGTTCAGGCTCTGAGTGTGTAGCTGGGCCAGTGCCGGTATTGTGACGCCAGTCCTGCTGGCATGGCAGGAGCACTCCTCCTGCCAGGGCTCACCCAGCCTAATTGCTTGTTTTGTGTCCCAGCTGCCTGGCATATGCTAATTCCATGTGTTGACACTTTGACAACAGGGACAAACACACCATGGCTTTTGGTGAGCGCCAGCAAGTCACCAGGACCTGGGATTCTTAGACCTCAGTAACTCTAGCACCCAGCACAGTGCCCGCCTGGCTCATAGGGGAGAACTGGGACTTTAGTGACTGTGTCGTACAGACACTGCGGTCACAGTCAGGATTCGGAAGTCTCTAGGTGACCTTGAGCAAATGTTTTCTTTCCGAGTTTCAAGTTCTTGGTCGTTATTCACCTCACGAGCAGGAATCTGCCCGCCACACCCCCCCCCATGCTTGCCGTACCTAGTGGAAGTGAGTCACAGCCCCCGACACGTGAGACAGCCTCGTGAACGTGAATGGTGTAGTCATGGGATCGTCAGCGTCGCGGAGAGATAATCAGAAGGTATAGAGGAGCTCAGAGGAAAGGGTGATTAATTGTACCAAGAAGACTCGGTGACAGCCTTACCGAAGTGGTGACGGTGCAAGAGACTCGAAGGATGACTAGAAAATAAGACCTCTCACCTCCGTCATCCCAAGCAAGGGACCCAGGAGGAAATAAGAGGCGCTGTCCTAGCTTGCTTTCGATTTCTGTTATAAAATGTCACAACCAACGGCAACTTGGGGAGGAAAGTGTTTATTTGGTTTACATGGGCCTGTCATCGGCTACCTTGAAGGATTTGAGGACAGGAACTCAAGGCAGGAACTGATACAGAGGTCATAGAGGGGTGCTGCTTACTGGCTTGCTCCCCATGGATTGCTCAGCCTGCTTGCTTATAGAGCCAAGGAACCACCTTCCCAGGAGTGGCACTGCCCGCGGTGATCTGGGCCCTGCCACATCGGTCATTAATCATGAAAATGCCCACATAGACTTGCCTATAGGCCAATCTGATGGAATCATTTTTTTTTCAGTTGAGGTTCTATCTTCAGTGATGACTCCAGTTCATATCCAACTGAAAGAAAAAAAAATAGGAAGAAAACTAACTAGCACAGGTTTGATATGGCCAGCTGGGAAATCCAGAGTGGCAATGATCCTCACCTCTGATAGTTGGTTTCTTGCCAAGGTAGACTTTTAAAATCAAAGAAGCAGTAATTCTATCTTAGCCACACCCACAACACCAAGCCTCACCTTCAGCATGAGGTCAGTGTCCCAGGAGAGTGTAAACGCCAACTCATTTGGGCTCATGAGAACTGATTATTAGCCTGGTGGTGATAGCCTACGTCTTTGGTAGGAAGAAGCAGGTGGATCTCTGAGTTTGAGGCCAGTCTGATCTACAGAGTGAGTTCCAGGACAGCCAGGACTCCGCAGAGAAACCTTGTCTATAAAAACAAAACAAAACAAAAACAAACAAGCAGCTAGAACTGAGAGAACCAGTTATTAAGTGTTTAGGAATTTGGTAAGCTGGTTGCTAAATTGCTATTATTAAAAATTAAACTGTACCGCGTTGGAGATATGGCTGCTCTTCCAGAGGACCCAGGTTTGATTCCTAATACCCACAACAGTCTATCACTCTAGTCTCAAGGGATCCTATGTTTTCTTCTGACCTCCATGGGCACCAGGCATGGACATTGTGTACACACATACATACCGGTGAAACACTCATAAAACACAATTTTCAGTTTAAATTAAAAAGCCTAAACTAGAATTATATCAAAGGGTTATACATACTCGAGACTTACCACTTCCTAAAGATTTGATTGGATTTTATAATTATTGCTTTTGAGCTTATTTGAGAGTAATGGCGTCAGGAGCTAGGAATACCCCATAATAGTTTACCACTGTGCATTTCTCCCCAACTCTGTGGCATCATGTTGGCAGCTTGAATGCGGCCATGAAGGGAGCGTTTACACCACAGGAATGGGTAAATACCATTCTTGACAACCGCGCCTCTCACTCTTCTCTTCTCTGTCCCCTTCACGCTCTCATCTGTCCTTAAACATCTACCAATGCCCCGCTGGTCGTATCCGCTGAATAACTGCATAAAGGGAGCAATTGTTGGGAAACCTAGCTCTTCTCAAACCTCCTTATACAAAAGCGCATAGCATGAAACGTATACAGAGGCCTCCACAAAGTGACTTTCCGCATCTCCTTTGTGGCACGGGGACATCTTGTTAAAGAGGGCTTTCTCGACAACTGAAAGCCGCGGTTAAAGAGAAAGAGGATGGAAGTGTTTTACTCTAGGACCTGGTTTCTGAGCCAAACGCCTATCTTCTGCCACGAGGCCTCAGTGGCCTGGAGGGGCTAGGCGTGTCAACTTAATCGTCTCCAGAATCCAAAGCAGTCCGCAGGAGCCTGCGCTAGCGTTACATCTGCTCTGGTTTGCCGGACGGGGACTAAACGATAGCCAAATGCTGATGGTTTAATGTTTCCCAACGACCAGGAAATTCCCCCAAAGAGAGAACAATCAGAGGATGCTGGTCTGCAGGCACATGGGTTGGAGGGGTGCAGGGTGCAGCCAGGGAAGCCCCATGACGGTGGTTACTGTCCAGGCAGAATCCAAAGGTGCTGTGCATGTCAGGAGGCTGGAGAGTAGCCAGGACCAGGCGCTGAGATCTGTTAGTAACTCACTGGAAGGACAGAGTTCCAGCGAAACAAAATTCAATTGCCCTCCACTGAAGAAAGCCTCTCTCAGTACCAGCTGAATGCAATTGATGGAATAAATACCTCCCATTAGCGGAAAGATAATTTCACATAAATACTTTGAGAGACCGTCCGAACAGGACTGCAGGTCTTCGCTGAGCCTCGCCTGCTTAACTGACTTGCCCTGTAATTGCATTTAGACCAAGGGCCTCGGAAGGAAAGCTCTGACTGAATTAGCACCAGTCAGACTGCAGAGTGAGGTGAGGTGAGGTGGGGTGGGGTGGGGTGGGAGGGGTGAGGCTTGTAGTGCATTGTGGGTAGGTGTTGTTGCCTTCAGAAAGGACAAGCTGACACTAGTGAGACCAGCTGCTTGCAAGCCTGGTGTTAATTGCTTTTCTCATCAAACAGAGAAAAGCTTCTCACTTGAGGGAAGTAAGGATTTGGGTGTCTAATAAAGATGGGATAGAGTTTGAGATTTTTTTTTTCTCATGAATGCCCACAGGCCTTATCAGTAGCTCTTCCGTAGGCCAGGAGCAAAAGGGTTCCTGAGGCTGGGGAGTGAGAGAATGTGAGCAACAGCACCTGCATTTATGGCCGTGTGGATAGTGTGTCATCAGTGGCCGTGACCACAGTGTGTCATCAGTGGCCGTGTGCATAGTGTGCCATCAGTGGCCGTGACCACAGTGTGTCATCAGTGGCCGTGTCCATAGTGTGCCAAGAGAAGGAGAGATTCTGTCACCATTCTTTTGGTTTGTTTCCTACTTTGAGGTCCTTAGAAAATGTCATCTATAAAATGATCCTATTTCTGAAATACATGCAAACCATGCTTCTAGATGATGGCAAATTGTCTTGTTTTTTTGCTCAATCTCCCGTTGTTGTTTTTGTTGGTTTGGTTTGGTTTTTTCACTGTGACCGAGTACTTGCTAGTTATGGTCCAGGCACTGCACTATAGAGAAAGCCTCGTCATGCCCTCAAGCAGCCTGACATCCAGGTGGAGAGGAGAGAGATATGAAGTAGGCAAGGTCCTGAGGTGTCTGTCTGAGTGTTTGAGGGAGTAAGATGTGAGTTCTGAGCAGGAATGTCAAGAAAGGCTTTAGAGAAGAGATGTCCTTTGAAGTGGGTGTTGAGGAATGAGGATGTTGGGGGTGCCTGCAGATATGGGATGAGAATGTTGGGGTGCATGCAGAAATTGGATGATAATGTTGGGGGGTGCATGCAGAAATAAATAAGATGAGAAGGTTGGGGGTGCCTGCAGAAATGGGATGAGGATGTTGGGGTGCCTGCAGAAGTGGGATGAGGATGTTGGGGTGCCTGCAGAAATGGGATGAGGATGTTGGGGTGCCTGCAGAAGTGGGATGAGGATGTTGGGGTGCCTGCAGAAATGGGATGAGGATGTTGGGGTGCCTGCAGAAATGACATTTTAGGCAGCTGGGAGGTTTCACACAACATTCTCCCAGCAAATGCGGGAAAGTGCGTGGTTTGTTGTCTAAAGTACAGGGAACAAGTAGGAGTTGGGGGAGGGAGTGGGTCTGGGAGTGGGGACAGGCTCCCAAGGAGACACCCCGAGGAGATGCCATCATTTGTCCTTCTCTTTCGAATGCCAGGTGGAAGGAAGTGCACCCCTCCATCCCAATCTCTTTCTTGTATCCTCATTTCCAGTAGTGTTGTTTTCTATGTTCCAAGATGAAAAGCAGAAAAAGGCAAACGAAAATGAGGCTTAAAGAACTGTCACATGCTTGCAAAAGTTCAGAGATCTAGGAAGTAGCAGAGCTGAGATTTGAACCTAGGGCACCTGACTCTGTGGTTCCCATCATAACTATACTGTGTTGTTCCCTGGGATCAGCTTTCTTCCCTTACGTGAATCATGGCTTTAGAAAAATAACATTGGAGTATGATACTTGAAAATATTTCCCCAGAGTGATTCTCTCAAGGACACTTTGATCCCTTGAAGAGAGGTGGCAGATTATTATCGGAAGTGAACACCTGGGGCTCCTGGATGTAAGGTGTGTCTAAGTGACCAGCCTTTTGGCTATAACAGAGGTTTCCCTGCTGACCATGAGAGGCACTTCATGCTGTTCCTTCTCCTCCTCCCACAGGCATGCATGTGTTATCCGTGGACAAGTGATGACATCAGATGGGACCCCGCTGGTTGGCGTGAACATCAGTTTCATCAATAACCCTCTCTTTGGGTACACAATCAGCAGGCAAGATGGCAGGTAGGAGACCTTTTGTGGGTCAGGGAGTTGGGGCCTGTGGTCTCCCAACATGGCTGCCCCTGGATTGGTTATGTGGACAGAGGGTCAGACAGCCTGCCTTCTCCCACCCAGTTCTACAGCCTATGGTCTTACTGGGACCTGTGTCTAACTCTGGCCTCTGTACCTTCGGCTGTAAGCTAAGCACTTTCTTCTCACGAGGCTCACACATAAACTCAGGGCAGCTTATCCGTATTCTTCTCAGTGGCCCCTCGTAGGACTGTGACATTCTTCCTTTCAACCGCCTAGGAGTTACTTCAACAGAAGCCACCTCGGTGACAGCAAATCCTGGCCTTTGCATTTCCTCTGAAGTGGTTTACTTCATCAACAGTGCGAAGTAAAGCTAGGGTTTCCATGATGGCCTGGATCTCCCCCAGTGACTGGCATCTGCCTGCACAAATACTGCTGCCCAACCCTCGGCTTCTTCATCTGTAGCCTGATTCTAACGTTCTCGACCTCATAGGCTGGTCGGGAGAACCAGAGGAACGGCTAAGATAGTACAATGGATGGGGATCACCTAGCACGTAGTATGCGCTTAAAAAATCACGACTTCCTGCCACACACTAGGATTCACTAGCGTGACACAGAGAAAGTCAATCAATAGTGGATATTAAGACTACAAATTATGATGAACTATTGAGTAACAAGGAGATAATAGTACAAATATTTTAGAAAAAAAAAGAAGGCGAGTGGAATATTTAGCCAGTCGGTGGTGATAAGTCCTCTATTTTTAATGAGCCCGGTGGTGTCAGTCCATCTGGCTGAGCATGGGCCCATAAGGTTGCTTCTTCACTCTGCCTTGGAAATTATGCTCCAGCCGGATTGATTTTAGCGCCTCTTTAATCCAATATCAGATGTGAGCATGTCCTAGCCGGGGTGATAATGAAGCAGGACTCATTCGTTTGTGCCTCTAAGACAGCTTGGCAAGCAGGGTGTGGGGAGCCTCCCCTCCTCCGTGGCAGTGGGAAGGGCCCAGCTGGAAAAGCAAACTGACCAGGCCAGGCCACTGCTCCCCCCACTGCACAGTTCGTGCTCAGAAGGCCCTCAGCAGCCACCCACCAGGGCAGGAAGGAGCTCCCCCTGTTCACTCCGTCTGGTCTTCGGGTTTTGGATAGCACAGAAATGGCAGCTGTGGGTATCCTCGGCCATGGATATTCTTAGAACGCTCCCACCCACAGGCGAACAGTCATCGAAAATGGAGCTTCTTCAGACTGCTCTTTTTGCCATGACACCCACCACATGAAAGAGCTGACTGTCAGTCAGGAGGCACCGCTGGGCTTGCTTAGACTGGATCCACGAAACATGCCATAGTAATCCCACATGCGGTGACCTTAGCAGCCACCCATTCTTTGGCCCTCTGTTTGTGCTATGCTGATTATATGTACTGCTTCGTGAGGGCATTAAGTGCTCAGAGGAACGGCTCCTGCATCAGCCTCCCACACGGTGGCACAGCCAGAACGTGGCATTTCAAATCAGTCCTTGCTGATGCATCGTGGGGCTAGCATGCTCTTTCCAACATAGACACCATAACGTATGGAAAAGCTACCCCTTGTTCCCATAGTGTCTGAAACTCCCTCTTGCATGTGAGCAGGGAACATCTGGCCCACTCCGCTCCTCTCTTCTGTGACTCAGTTTCCCTTCCCCCGCTACACAGGAGAAGCCATGAGGCTAAAGACGGTCGGGGGAGAGAATGGATGGAAATGCACTAAAGGCCTACGCTGCGACTGAGTCGCCTGTGTCATCTTCGATTTCCAGGCGGCACCATGACGTGCTCCCCAGTTCCCCACCCGCTTCACACACATACATACATGCACACATGCGTGAATGCATGCACCTGCACACACTCAGGAACGCACGCACACATGCATCCATATACATGCACACATACACACACATGAATGCGCACACACATGCATGCACACATACACACACATGAATGCGCACACACATGCATGCACACACATGCACACATACGCACATGCACACACGCGCACGACCAGATTTCAGCAGTAGCTCATACACAGAAAATAGTAACAGAGAAATTACCCTAAAAGATCATTTAAAAGATGGAAACTATAAGTCAACTGGAACTAACAGAGCTCCTAACAAGTGGAGACTAGAAACCTGGGCTGTGCTGAGAGAGGCCCAGGGAATACAAGGGACCCTGGGCTTGTCCACCCATCACCCACCTAGCTGATTAGTAACCCTGGCAAGTGATTATGATGGTCAGCCTAATTTTACAGATGGGGAAACTGAGGCCTGGAAGATGGTCTAACTCACCTGTAACATAAGCAATGCAGCTTGGACCAGAGAGAGACAGGCTCCATTTGAGAACCAGGCCTTCCCTCCGGGGCCAGGTCAGCATTCACATCTTCCACAGGGTTCCCCTGCCAGATGAGCACGCCTGGCCTCAGCCCATTGCACTCATCTCCTGGCCTGCTCACAGCCTTGAAGATAAGTCTTTTCATGTTTGTCTCTCCCTCCCTCCCTTCTTCCCTCCCTTCCTCCAGGCCGCCTCTCTTGAACAGAGTTTGTAAGTCTGGCCAAATTTCTGTTTGGATTTTTAAAACATTCTGGCGAAGTTCTATGACAAGATTGTCAGCCCGTGAGTGTTTTCCCCAAACTGTGGGTACACTCCTGGAGAATCTCTGAGTTCAAGGCCAGCCTAGTCTAATAGTGAGCTCCAGGACAGCCAGGACCATCGTTAGAACCTGTCTAAAAAAACAATTAATTTTAAAAGAGAGAGTGAACTGTCTCAAATAACAATCATATCCAGAAGCAACTGAAGAAGACACTCATATCAGCCTGTGATCTCCATGCATGTTCATACACAAACAGTACAGGTGCCTACACACATTTGCTCACATGCACACAGAAATAATCCACACGAAAGTTTGGGCTTTTATAGATGGGAAAACTGAAGAGGCTGGCAGATTTACTCGTGGCCACTCTGTAGTTCATGGCGGTAAGGACTGGATTCAGGGCTCCCAGTGCCCAGGTAGCACCTGCTGAATCGCATTCTGCTGGCTCCTTAGTGGGCTCTGGCTCTTCACAGTGATAGCACCAGGAGCTCTGTCGCAGGGGCTCCCCCAGATGCCCTGGGTCCTGCTAAGCAGCCCCTGCTACTGTGCTTTGGCGTCTGTAACTACCCCCATCCCCCGCCAATCATTTTACAGCAACGGCTAGCGGTTTCCGGAGTCACTGTCACTAGTTGTGGCTGCAGTCCAGTCTCTGAACGTTAGAGTGGCCCTCGACCAAGGACTCGGTCCCTTCCTGGGATCTTCTCACCCTTCACAATCTCACCGTTCTCTTCTTCTTCCCCTTCCCACTGCTGCTGTCCTCTGCCTGCAGCTTTGACCTGGTCACGAACGGCGGCATCTCCATCATCCTGAAATTCGAAAGGGCACCCTTCATCACGCAAGAGCATACCCTCTGGCTGCCCTGGGACCGCTTCTTTGTCATGGAAACCATCGTCATGAGGCACGAGGAGAACGAGATTCCCAGCTGTGACCTGAGCAACTTCGCCCGCCCCAACCCCGTGGTGTCTCCATCCCCCCTGACGTCCTTCGCGAGTTCCTGTGCTGAGAAAGGCCCCATTGTCCCAGAAATCCAGGTACTCGGGCTTCTTGACGATGTCAGGCCATTCTTTTATTTTATTTGGGGACAGAGGACAATCTCAGAGACAATGGAAACCAAGAAAGTCCCCCTACAGGCTTGGGCGAGACCCCAAAGGCCAAACCCCATAGTGGACATGGCATCAGATCATGAAGGCCATTTCACACGCCTGCCTACAATCTGCCTGGCACACTAAGCCTTACAACAAACTCCTTGGTTCTTTCTACTCTGCCATCCTGGTCACCCTACCTTACTCATCCTCAGCTTTCAGAGTCTCACTTGTCTTGGTATTTCTGCTAAAAGTATAACAACCCAGTTTCTACACACAGGACTAAGCCATGGGATCCCAACTAGTAAGCATTTTAATAAAGAGTAAATAAGAAAAATGGAACATGGGTTACTTAGCGCAACGTCTGACACCTACTAAGTGCTCAATAAGTTTTAGCTCTTATTATTAGTAAGATTATTTAACACCTGCTGCCTCCGTGTCCATTAAGGTTTGCTTTGGATCGGATCTACACACGCAAATGTTTTACCTAATTATCATTAAAGGGAAGCAATTGAGAAAAATGTGTTTTAATCTGATGAAAATGAAGATCAATTCTTTGCCAACAAAAACCATGCTGAATTGAATCTCCTCCATCCAACCCCCGGGTTGGATCTCCTCTGCCATCCCCAGTCTGATGTCTTCAGGCAGAAAAGAAGGTCCAAGGAGGAGGGGAAATGGCAGCGTAGAAGCCCAGAGAGGCCCAGGTCACCTGCCTGCCTAACGAGACCTTCAGCAAAGTGCATGTTGATGGATCGCCCTGGTGCTGGTGCAATAGAGCATTTATACACGCACGCACGTGTGTGTGTGTGTGTGCGTGTGCGTGTGCGTGTGTGTGTTTCATGTCTGAGTGAGCAAACCCATCTCACTGAGTGTGCCCTGTCAAGCAGCCTCCAGTGCCGGTCCCCAGCAAGGAAACAACCATTCCTGAATCCTCACTGTGCTCTGGGCAGAAAGCTCACTCCTTCTCAGAGATGCAGTACCTGTCTCCCATCTCAATGTTCAGGCTGACCTTTTGCATGAAATGCTTGTCAGCAGAGACAGGACTTGCTGGAGAGAAGTAATTTGTTACTCAACCCCAGCTCAGTTCCAGCCAGACATCTTTTCCCAGGAGCGGGGACTGTGGAACAAATGAGGTTCAAGGTCACCCCCTCCTTACAGTGCTCCCTGAGCCAGGTGCCTACAGGTTCGGCTGGGGCACAACCCTTGCTTATTGTGAGTCCCGCAAAACACATAAAAACAAACTCTTTGTTTTCCCAGCCCCATTGCCCGTTAGTCCTCACAAGTGCTGGGATGTGGAAACTGTGGTGGGCACATTAACGAAGGAAAATATTTATGAGAGCATCAGGCCAGCACTCAAGTGCCGCCTGTGGCTCACCCGTGTGTGTAGCCTACCTCGCCTGGAACTATAAGCTGGGAAGACAGCAGTGGATTAATCCCAATCTATAGCATTTCCTGTGTTCAAGAAAGAAGCCTAGACAAAATGTCTCCACCATTCTATGGAATAAACAGGATGAAAAAGGCCCAGTTCCTCTGTAAACACAGGGTAAATATAGCCCTCGTCCCTGAAATGGACGTGTTAGGCTCAGTTGATTTAATATCCCCTTCTTGAGAAAGAGCCCAGAGCATCAAGCTGATGACAGTCCCCAGCGTTTGCCTTGTGGGTGATCGTCTGGAATCTGCTGACTGTGTCCACCTTCAGTCTGAGCCTGCTGCCTTCCCTCCTTTGCTCATCGTGAAGGCACTGGAGCTAGGAGCCAGTGTGCACAGAAACTCCCTGTGGGCAACCCTCTGGAGACGCACTGGGACATTGGAACAGGGTCTCGCCAGGCTCTCAAGCGCTGCCTGATGTGTTTGTTCAGCCCTGTGTGCTCTCTGTTGACCTTCCTGGAAAGGACACATTGAAACTATATCTTGCTTTAAGAACACTTCAGACAGAAACAGTCTACCAGGCTCAGGCTACTGTTTAGGTCAGTGTCTTTATGGCACCCCTGCTCTCTGTACCATAGGTACCAGCCATACCACTGTCCTGCCTGATGCAGTGATGGGCCGGGCACTTTGCATGTGTGGCCTTACCAGTGGTGACACAGTGAGGAGGAGCAGATTCCCAGATTCTTGTGTTTTCCCTGCTGACATAGCTAATCAGTTGGGGGTGTGCATTGCTGAGTAACCCATGGCCACAATAAAATATCTTCATTCATGTTACACAGGGGAGGAGCCCAAGGCTCATGGAGGTGCGTTTGTTAATGCAGGTACACCGTGCAGGAACTGACCATGGAGACCAGGGCTATTCCTCCTTTCCTCACCTCTCCTTATCTTCTTCCTGCTATTCTCCCTTCTCCTCCTCACCTCCTTCCCTTCCGCTTCCTCCTGTGCCCCATGAACACCCAAAGTCCACAAGGTATTTGATGTCACTTCCCCTCCCCCCATGACCTTCAGTGACACCCCTGCTGTGCTCTGTCTGTGCTGTAGGCCCTGCAAGAGGAAATCACCATTGCAGGCTGCAAGATGAGGCTGAGCTATCTGAGCAGCCGCACGCCTGGCTACAAGTCTGTCCTGAGGATCAGCCTCACACACCCCACCATCCCCTTCAACCTTATGAAGGTCCACCTCATGGTGGCAGTTGAGGGCCGCCTCTTCCGGAAGTGGTTTGCTGCAGCCCCTGACCTGTCCTATTACTTCATCTGGGACAAGACAGATGTCTACAACCAGAAGGTGTTTGGGCTGTCAGAGGCCTTCGGTAAGCCTCCCCTAAGTATCTGCGACACGGGTTCCACACGTCAGCAGAGACAGAGCAGAACCAGAGAGTGGCTGCCTTCGTGGATGTTTCTTTCTTCCCTCCTTCCTCTTTTCAGGTCAAAACCACCTAAGGCTTAATGGGGCAGTAAGACCTCAGTGGCCATCTATAACCTAGATGAACATTGGAAGACCCGGGTGTGCAAAACCCAAGCATGAAAAGTAGTTAGAATCAGAACGGTCCTCAGGAAGCACTCCGGTGCTGTGTGTCGGGCTAAAGTACACTGTGTGCCAGAAAAGTAAAATATGTTGTCTGGTCACCCCGCGGTCGTCCTACCGAAATCTAAAATGAAAATAAAGGCGCTAAGGTTGGGCCGCTGCCATGTTTTCGGTTATAAGAGCTAAAGTCAAAGCTTGGTTTTCGGCCTCATGGTTGTTTTGACTGGTTGAGACAGGGCCCCCCTCTGTCACCCTGAGTGACCTCAGATTTTCTGTGTTGCACAGTCCGGCCTTGCACTCACGTGATTCCTGATTCAGCTTCCTGATTCAGCATGGCCTGGTGCTAGGATCGTAGGTGGGCCGACACCATGCCCAGCTGGCCTCATGATTTTGTCTCCCAGCAGAGAGGTCACCTCTGGTAACTGTTTTTACTACCGTCTTTAGGGATGAAACCAAAGTTGGCTGCCTCACCAGGATCTTGTGCCTGGCAGGATGACCGCCCTTCCTGCCTTCTGGGTTAGAGCAGGCTCCCAGGAGCTTCAGCGATGGGCAGTCAGTAGTCATGATGCCCAACAAGATGTCTGAGGAGCAATAGCCCAGCAAATTCCTTCACCTTGATCCCAATCCTCTTTCACGTGTCTTCAGATAGCAATAGCGGTTAGGAACCTGGAAGTTGTGCTGAGAAAAGGAAGGAGGGAGGGACGGGAGAAGGAGTGGCAGGAAGTGGAGGGAGGCAGGAAGAAAACAAGAGGACCTCTGGAACTCGTGTTTTATGGTTGTGCTGTGACACATGGTAGTGTCACAACAAATCCTCACAGCCACGTCCTTTCGGGGATGCTGAGGTGACATCCCAAGGATGCAAAGATAGACGGAAGAAAGCTAGATTCATTCGGCTCTGCGTTAAGATTTGCATCCCTACCCTGTATGCCAGGGCTCGCCAGGAGCAGAAATGCCACACCTCACTGTTCACAGGCCCTTCTGTCATCTACAAAAGTAAAAACCAGGCCCTGTAGCCTTCTCCACTAAGATGAGCAGATTTAGAGCCCACTAGGTAGTTTCAAAAGGTCCATGCCATGAGATTCCAGTGTGGGGACTCATTTGCTGAGACCATCATGGCCAGAGGCTTGGGGACATCTTCTCACCCACTCCCCTGTTGCTGCAGGTGGGGCGCCGTCTCCCAGGGCAGCTGTGAACAGCCTTCAGAGGCCGACCAGCAGTTCATTCCTATCTCAGTCACATGTTTAGATGTTGGCAGCTGGACAATAGTGCCCTCTCAGAGGAGCTACTCAGAGGAGATGGTTTTCCTGTCTCCACTGATGCTCTCCCAAGGCCGCTGCCTGGGCCTCCACAGAAGCCAAGCTTAGGGAACTAGTGATTTTTTTAAATCACAGATGACCGAAAACAATCAGCCTTATCCACTGAGTACGTCCCTTTAAGCGTTTCCTATGACATCTGTGGTCTTCGTCCACCATGATGTCCAGGGGCTGAGTAATATCCCTGGCCTGGGCGTGATTAGAGTCTCACCTGATGAAACACTGTGTTAGCTTCAATTATCCACTGCCACAAATGAGAACGCACTGACGAGTTAATGGGGTACTTTCCTTATTAAACATGACTTCCGGGCTGAGAAGATGGCGCCCACAGTAAAAACACTTGGAATGTAACCATGGTAACTAAAGTTTGGATCCTCGAAATGCATGTAAAAGCCAAGTGGTCTCCACACGCGTGTATACATGCCTACACATGCATATACATTCACACACGTATGAACAGCACCACAGCGTATACAAAATATTTTAAAGGAATGTTTCCCCAGAATCAGTTCACTTGGGTCCTTTGAAGGCATGTGGCTCATTTAACTCTTCTTAATACTGTGTGATTGTTCTTCTTTAAAAATTGGTTTTAAGGGCCAGCATCATTGTGTTGGTAATCCCACATGGTTCTATTGCCCAAGTCAAAGCATGATCCTTCTCGTTCCTCTTCCATGAAAGACAATCAGAGGCCTTGTCTGTCGGCCTGAGGGTCAGGGCGGAGGCTCTGCTCACTTGTGTCCTTTCCTCTTGTGTCCCTGCAGTTTCCGTGGGTTACGAATATGAATCCTGCCCAGATCTGATCCTGTGGGAGAAAAGGACGGCAGTGTTACAGGGCTATGAGATCGATGCCTCCAAGCTGGGGGGCTGGAGCCTGGATAAGCACCATGCCCTGAACATCCAGAGCGGTGAGTGGAACCATGGGAGTCCTTAAGCTGAGGTGGCACCTTCTCTGCTAGACCACGGAGCCTAAAACAAGGCATACAGTGAATAACGTGGGCGCCAAGGTGAGCCTGCAGAAGGTTGTTAGCAATGCCAGCAAGGCATGGGAGAAGCACTTCGTTGCCATCAAAGCAGCAACAGAGGGAGGAGCCCTGGGCAGCATCCCAGAGGATCTAGGACTAGCCCAGAGTGTCACGGAGTAGATCCTCCAAGAGGGCAGGGCAGGAGTCAAGGCACTGAGTTCAGTGCAAGAGGACTTGCAGAGAAAGGCCATTGTAATGTGAGCCAATGTATTCATGTTGTGTTGGATTCTGTGGTAAACCCTGGGGATGCAGAAATGACAGAGACATAATCTCTACACTTGAAACGAGATTGGTGGAAAGAGAAAAGCAAGCCTGTGTACCTGCAAAACTGCGGTACACAGATGTGGATGGAGCCTGAGAGATGCATTAGTCATAATGGTCAAGAGCTGCATTCTGGGGCTGAAGAGATAGCTCTCAGTTAAGAAAGTGTTGGTCTTGCAAGCACGGGGACCTGAGTTCCATCCCCAGAACCCAAGTAAAAAATGCCAGAAGAAGGCTGGGCACTGGAAAGATGGCTCAGCCATTAGGGGCACATGCTTTTGTAGAGGGCCTGGGTTTAATTCTCAGTGCCCACACAATGGCTCACAGCCACCTGTAACTTCAGTTCCGGGGAACCCAATGCCCTCTTCTGGCCTCTTCAGGCACCAGGCACACATGTGGTACACATACATACGTGTAGGCTAAACACTCATATACAGAAAGTCTATCTTTTAAAATGCCAGGCATGATAGGATATGCTTGCCATTCAAATCCTAGAGAGGAGGAGATGGGCTCACTGGGGATCCCTCACCTGCCTGGTCTACTTGGCAAGTTCCAGGACATGAGAGTCCCTGCACCAAAATTACCAGGAGGGTAGCACCTGAGGAAGGGTGACAGAATTTGTCCTGTGGTCTCCAAGTGCAACTGCATACACCTGCACACATCTAAACATGTACTCATGCATGTGCATGCACACACGCACACTCACACACACACACAGAGAGAGAGAGAGAGAGAGAGAGAGAGAGAGAGAGAGAGATATTCTGGGCCTGCCCACTTCTTGTCCGTGGGGCCTTGGCTAAATTACTGGTCTGTTCCGTCCATCACGGCAATGGTAACAGTACAGCCTCATAGGCCTCAGGTGAGAATCTGGTAGGTAAACCGTGGAGCCTCTCAGCTTCCCCTGGGTTTCACTATGGTAAGACAAGCCTGGACTTTGCAGAAGTCACAATAACATCGACCAACCCAAGGAAGAGGGACCCAGTCCCTGGCCCCTCACTGACGCTGGCCTCCTTTCCTCATCCCAGGCATCCTACACAAAGGGAACGGAGAGAACCAGTTCGTGTCCCAGCAGCCACCGGTCATTGGCAGTGTCATGGGCAATGGGCGCAGGAGGAGCATCTCCTGCCCCAGCTGCAATGGGCTTGCTGATGGCAACAAGCTCTTGGCCCCCGTGGCCCTTGCCTGTGGCTCTGACGGGAGTCTCTATGTGGGAGACTTCAATTACATCCGCAGGATCTTCCCTTCTGGAAATGTCACCAACATCCTGGAGATGAGGTATGGCAGGGGATTCCTTCCCTGGGATTCCTAGCAGTGTCCCTTGCCATCATGAGGCCCAACAGCCTTCCCTGTGGGGACCAGAGAAGGAGGCCATGACAGAGCCACACCTATGGGCTATGAGGGCTTTTCACTTCCCAGCTCCATCAGGCACTGCCTCCCGTGCTCTGAGATAAAGATACAGTGAGTTGTCCTTCACATCCAGATGACATGGAAGGCTGCTGACAGCCGAAAGTTAGTCCCCTTGAAGCCACTGTACCCTCTTTCTGCGCTTACCTGATAGAATGGGCTACAAGAGTCTTCTTCTAAGGACCAAGGACACACAGCAAGCAAATGTCAGCACATTTGGTCCCAGTCCCTTAGTGTTCCTCAGAAGAGGTTAGCTCTGTCCAACCAGGGCTGAGGTGAAATGAGGCCCGGGGCTGATGCAGGCTGGGCCTGTCTGCTCCTTAGGGGCAGCAGAGCCCCCAGACTCTCAGCCCTGACCACGAGTGATGGAACGCTGAGACCCTACGTCCAGCTGGAGACAGCTTGACTTTGCGTTTTTCCGAAGTCCCTATGATACCTTTCTGTCGGCTTAGCAGCTACACAGGAGTCTGCTAATGTTTTAATTACCATCTGTGGCCCCATGGCCCTCCACAGTCAGTGCCCTACTGACCACCCAGGCCACAGCCTGCAGGGACTTCTGGCTCCGCTGCCTCAGCTTGGCCCTGGCCGAGATATGCAGGTTTAAACTAAGTCTCTGTTGTTCTGTTTGCCAACAAGGACTTGTAGGTCAGATGTGGGGGTGAAAGCCTGCTAGATCAGAGGGACTGGGAAGCAACCAGCTGGCCTTCCTTTTGGGCCAGAGACCCAGGAAGAGAAGAACCTCTCCGCTCACCCCAAACCAAAAAGAAGGTCAAAACTCCATGGCCCCGCCCTACTCTTTCCTATGTATCTCTCTATCCGTATTCCTGGTTCCTCCAGATTCTCTATGGGTAATTCCAGTCAACTAGTTGCTGTCTCTAAACTAAGGTTGACTTTATTTAATTAACACAAATGCAAACTCAGGGTTCACAGCGTGATCAAATATCCCACAACATCCATAAACCAGGTCTCTTTGGAACCAAAGCCCTGCTCCAGGGTGGGCTCTACCGTTAGAGAGAAGCCACGCTTCTTAGACAGGGGAGTCCCACTCTCAATTCCAAAAGAAATTGCAGGAAGTTTGTTTTTTACAGCTATTTTGGGGCAAAAAAAAAAATCCACCTCTATCCTGGTTTGGAACCACATGACCAAAGCATGCTTGGGATGGAAATGCGTCCTCCAAAGAGTACGGACAGGCAGATAGCATCCCACTGGTCACCAGTGCAGGAGCTCTGGAAAGTACGAACTATCATTACCCTTTGCCAGTTAACGAAAAGCAGACACGGGGGATTTAAAGTGTGTATCCATCTAAAATGGTACACCCAAGCCTAGTAGACCACTACTCAGCCCTGCCCCACTGAAGAGTGCTCAGCTGGCACAGTGTGAAGTGTTCCGTCTTATAAAGCCCTTCTCTGCCGAATGAATCTCATTCCGCAGCTCACATGTAAAAGGAGGCCTCCCGTTTTCATATCCTCCAAACAGGACCACCTGTTTTCCCTTCCCCCCTCCCACCACTGTTGAGGATCACGTGAGACTGCAAGAGGGGAAAGAAGGAATAAGTGAGCTTAGGAAAGGAAACTCAGTATGGGGTTATCCAAGCATCTTCCTCCCATCTTTTCCTGATGGCCCCTTTTCTCTGGTTCACCCCCTACCTGACTGAACTCATTCTCCAACCCCATGCCATATTCTGAGTAGGCTCGCCAAGTTTCTAAAGCTTCCATAGGAAAACACACCTTACAGACCTGGAGCAGCAAGCCTGTGTATCTCTGGGTGTATGTCTGTCCAGGGAAGAGACCCCACTGCCCCTATGTGGTCTGAGCCCCTGCTAAAGCAGCAACACTGTAACCGGCCTATGTTCTTCCCAAAGCCAGCAGTAGGGTGCAGGTGGAGCTGGGGCCCTTCTGAGCTGTGTAGCTGTTTGTAAGTGATCTCACTGACAGAGTATCCAATATAAAATGTATCAGTGTCATGGCTAAGTCTTTATTTATTACCGTGTTGTACAGTAGCGTTGCTGTCAAGTTTTCAGCCGCTAATAATGCGTCTAACCCTGCTGCTAACACCTCCTTCTCTCTTCTATTCCCTGCTCTCCTGTCTTCTGTCAGAAATAAAGATTTCAGACATAGGTAAGCCAACCAGTGGAGAATTTCCCGCCTCTCCCCTGTCTTGCTGTTGCATGCTGTATGGTAAGCCCTGCTTGTCAATCCCAGATGGCTCAAGGGCAAAGGAGCCCTGTGTGATTAGAAGCTGATAGGGGATAATCGGTTGCAACCACAACACCCCACTGATTGTGGTGGGGTAGGAGGACGAAGATCTGAACTCCTTTGACCTGTGGCAAAGTGAGGTCCCCGTAGTCTGTGGATGTGACAGACTGGAGTAACAGGGAAGAACTTGAGAACCACAGCCTGATGAGTCCTTAGAATAGCATATCCTCTATTGAATAGCATATCCTCTATTGAGTTCAATGACCGTGGTGGGAAGTACCAAGACCATCTTATGGGGGGGGGGGGGTAGACTATGAAAACAGACAGATTCTAGACTGCAGAATCAGAGCACTGGCAATGCCAGCGACCCCTTCCAGAGGCTCTTCCAGGCAGGACATCACAGTCCTCGCACAGAACTGTGTCCGTGTGTAGATTTGATTGCTGACCATGAGCAGACAGAGCTATGTTTTACACAGCCTCAGGGGAGACTCTCAGGTGTCTACATAAGACTCTGATGGTGCATAGGTTGGTCCTAGGTTGGGATAAAAGAAGGCTCTTTGGGGAATGATGAGACAAAGCCTGAAGTACCAGTCATTATTAAATTTACCTCTCTATATAACTATATGTGAGTAGGAATGGATGTGCATATATTATTTTAAGTAATAATTCATATGTATAGATTATTTACTACATAGCAGAGAGTTAGACAATGCACATGGATATCATCTTATATCTGAGCCACCCTGTGAGGTCGACATCTGTGATTATAGCCAGTTTACCGGCAAGGTTAGTGACGTTTCCCAGTAATATGACCCTGAAGTAATTGCTTCATCTCCCATTATTTTTATCTTATGGTTATTAAAAATTATTCTAGGGGAAAAAAAAGGATCTCTTCAAATTAGTCAGCATTTTCAGGCCCAGAAAGAAGTTCCAGAAATTACTATGGAAAAATGTTACTAGTGATCTTAATAACTGTTACAGTCTCTATACACTGGCTTTGTAATTAGCCTACCAGAATTTACCATAATTAAGATAATCATGATGATAAGATGTTGCCGTCTTTCCCCGTAAAGGAAATTAGTCCTTTGACAACCAAGGACACATATAAGAAGATAAATTCAGCAGAAATCAGGGCCAAAAGTAAAAGCTAAGAACAACAACCATGGTCAAACCTTAAACTCTTGAGTCATGGCAGCCAGAGTAACCGTGGAAACATAGCTCTTTCCTGCTTCACACTGTCAGCAGTGGGAAACGTGCCCTTCCCTGTGCAGAAGTAGCCTGTGTTCACACTGAAGCCAATGCCCAGTGAGCTTCGAATGGATGACACTGAACTGCTCATAGGTCTGTCCTCTCAGTTTCTATATTGCAGAGGTACTCTTCATGTGTATCTTAAGTTAAAACCCGGCATTTAGCATTGAACCATTCAGTCCATGGTGACACCTCTGGAGACATGCCTGCGGTACTGGCAGACTCAGCTGAGAAGCTTTGTGCTATGTGGCATTCGCTGATCAGCCAGCCTCTCTGGTTTCTGTTCACATCACCTATCAGTTAGAAAAGTTGTGATTGTCTCTGTGTGTGGGTGTATCCCGCACACATATAGGTATGGGCGTGCATACTTCTGACGTTCAGTGGCTTTTTTATGAATATGCATTGGTATTTTGCCTATATGTATGTCTGTGCAAGGGTGTGGAATCCCAGAGTTACAGACAGCTGTGAGCTGCCATGTGGATGCTGTGAACTGCACCTGGGTCCTCTAGGAAAGCAGAAAGTGTTCTTAACTGCTGAGCCGTCTCTCCAGCTCCTTCAGTGATCTTTTGATATAACCATGATACGGGGTCAAAAACAGGGCCTGTCTTCTTTCTACCCATTGTTTTCTCAGGTGAGAAAAATCTCTCTCCATAGTGAACCACAGTGGAACCAGAGTGGAAAGGGGGCTGGCCCATTGCCAGCCACTTTCCTAAGATAATAAATCTGGGTTTCAACTGTGATTTTTTTTTTTTGGACTGGTATCTCACTATTAGCAAATCCCTTCTTCTCTCTGAGCCTCGGTGTCCCCTGTAGCTCGATTAATAAAAACCCAGAGACAGAAAATGGGGTTTAACCTGACGGTCAGAAAAGCAAAACAGCCAGCCACTTGCTCTTACCTCTACCTCAGTCTGAAATGGCGATCCCGCCTCTAGGAATCTCAGAATGAGACTGTATCTGAGGGCTGTCTCCTCCCGTTTTATATTCCTCTCTAGGGCTGGGCTTGAAGGTGTGCACCACTACTGCCCAGTTTCTATGCCAAACTAGTGTGGCTACTGGGATTAAAGGTGTGTGCCACCACTGCCTGGTCTGTAAGACTGGTCAGTGCAGCTGTTTTACTCTCTGAACTTCAGGCAAGCTTCATTTATTAAAATACAAATGAAACATCACTCTGGTTTTCTCTACTGGATATTGGATAGATTAAAGAAGTTTTAGAAGTTTATCTCCTTCATTGCTGCTTCTGTTTCTCCCATAGCAGCATTTGACTCCGAGGGAACCTTGGCCCGTGTGTGTTTGTACTGCCAGGATAGACTTTTCTCTGTCTTTTAGCATCATGCCCCCTGCTGTCGTGGGCATTCCCAGTAGCCATAGCCCCCTCAGCATCTGTGCTGTGGATCTGTTCAGGAAATAAGCATCCTTATCTCTTCCATGGTTTCTTCCCCAGAGTCAGGAGAACTGTCGGAAGTCTGTTCTTAGAAGTACGCATAAATATAATCTCCCTCAAACCAAGCTACACATAGAGTACTAACACAGAGGAGTCCCTGTCATGGAAAATAGATCGACAGGACAGCTTTATGTCAAGAAGATGTAGCTTCTCTATTATGTACCAACACAAATATTCTAGAGACTTCTCAGAGTTACCAGATTTTCTTAAAAGCTGCCATTTGGGGCTGGGGACATAACTTAGAAAGTAGAGCACTTGGTTAGTATTTCTTGAATTCCTGGGTTTGATCCCTAGCCTCACAGAAACTAGCATGGCGATCTAGGCCTCTAATCCCAGCCCTTGGGAGACAGAAGAAGGACCAGAAGTTTAAGACCGTTCTTGGCTACATAGTGGGTTCTAGGTCCCCCGAAATATATGACCCCGTCTCAAAGACAAAAACAAACAGCCACAATTTATTAACCATCTCAGTTTTTATCATAATGGACACTATATGGGGGGGTTATATTCTTCATATACTTCCAATAGTCCTTGGAAGTGGATTGATCACCCCCATCTCTCAGATACAAACATGCAGTCTACCCAAGCAAACATCAGAATCATAGGACTTGAAATCAGTACCTATCCCAGAATAATTCAAGGTGGTGGTGGCAGTGGCTTTTATGTATGGATTTTTGCCTGTTTATGTCTGTATAACAAAGGATTTTGGAGGTTAGAGAGAGCTCTAGATACAATAGGACTGCAGTTACAGATGGCTGTGAGCCACCATGTGAGTGCTGGGAACTGAACTCAGGTCCTCTGGAAGATCAGCCTTAACTGCTGAATCATTTTTCCAGTCCCAAGGTTTTATTGAGGAGACAGACAGACAGCTCAGCAGAGGAGAGCCTGTAAAAGCACTACAGACACTAGAAGCAAGGTCTGCGCTAACTGTAGTGGAAACATGAGGCTGCGGTGTGCTATCACAGAGAAGTGGGGAGTCCAGGAACGGAGCACAGGTGGTGGGGTGAGCTTTCGAGGATTGGATGGCTCGCAGCAGCCACACGAGGAAGGAGAAAGCACAGATTGTGAAGCCGGACAGGTAAAGATGGAAATTCACTCCACAGTTTGAGGTCCTGGTCCAGGACTTCATGTCTGTCCATCTCAGCGTTCTGAAATGTAAGAAGACAGTCCCTACATAAAGCGATAGTTATGGGGGCTGGAGTGAGGCCACGTGTGTTAAGTGCGGGCACAGAGGCTAGGACAGATCCTTATTCTTCCATGTCAGACACATCCCAATCCATGTGAGTTGGGGACCCTCCCCCAACCTCCTCCGTTATGGATGACCCTGGGTAGTGCCGCAGAGATCAGGACACAGGGGATGCAGAGTAGGAGACACAACTGCATCCTTTATTGCCAAGCCAGTGTTCTTTTATAATACTCAAATCACAATCCAAGCTAGGTTCTCATAATGCTTGAAATAGTCACAGAAACTAACAACTTTGTTACAAATTATTTCAAGAGCTTTGTGCCCTAGTTAATCTAAACAAGAAGCCTGTTTATTATGGGAATAACTTTTGCCGTTATATAACGTGTAAAAACACTTTATCAGAAAACAAAGCACAACCTAATCCTACCCTTTGACCTACAGTGCACATCTGTGTACTCAAGGACCGACTCTTGGCAGGGCATTCTACTGATAGGAGAAGTTTGCCTCCTCCTTACTTGACCTGCCAAGCATGTCAGCAAGAATACCACCTCAAGTCACCCCTGCGCCGAGTATGTGATCAGCTCCCTAGCTCTGTTCCACAGGCTGCCGGGGCTGCAGTCTCAGGGAAGGCCCGGTGGGAGCCACAGACATGGTGCAGGTACCAGTGCTGGCTGGCATGAGGAAGAAATGTGAGGCTAGGGAGGTAGTTCATTTGAGAGAGTGCTCACACAAAGCCCTGGGTTTTATCCCCATCACCAAATACAACCAGTTTGGTGGTACACAGCTATAATCCTAGCATTTGGGAGGCAGGGCAGGACAATCCCGAGTTTAGGGATAGCCTCGGCTACATGGCGAATTTGATGCTGAGTTAAGGGATATCTTTATTTATATGATGAGTTTGATGTTTAGCCTGGGATAAATGAGCCCCTGCCTCAAAACAAACAACCATCGTGTGTGTGTGTGTGTGTATTCATGCATGTATATATGCATGCATATATGTATACATATATGTATGTATGTATGTATGTATGTCTCTAAAGGCCAGTGTGTGGGCAGAGCAGAGACCTGACCATTGGACAGCTGAAGGAGACACAACATTTCATTGACTTCCCCAGTTAAACCTTCACCTTCTCCATCCAGAGCAAGCATTTTCTTCTATGCTGACCACAAGATAAGCATAAATAATGCAATCATAGCTTTTAAAGACTCTGGAATAATGCTGCCAAGGCCGCCTTCTCCCGGAATTCACCCATTTGAGAAGCTCCACACAGATGACACTTCTCCAGGACTGCAGGGCCATGTGAGCTGGAAACTCAAGGGGCTAATCTAAGTGGACAGGGCCTCCACCAGCCTCCCTCGGGGTCCTCTTCCTGCCAAGGTAGATAGTAGCCGTTTATCAAGAGTGATGCACACAGAAATGAAATAGTCCCCCTGCCTCCTGGCTGTCACAGGGAAGCTGGGAGCCCAGGATGCTCCAGCGTGACAAAGCAGGATCTAAGGTCACTGCGTTTTTATTAAGCCAGGATCAGGGTTGTCTGGGAAGATTAATTCTGTGCCACCTTCTAAGTCCCAGGGGGACGTCTCAAGATAAACAGGATGTCTGGGCTATTTCACCAACCCCACGGGAAGTAAAAGGAAAGCTAAGTGATTTCAGTGCAAACCCCACCTAAAGAAGCCGCGCATGGCCATGTTGTCACTGAGGACAAGCTGCTGTGGGGGGCTGGGAAGCTGCGTGTCGAGCACTGGGCCTGCAGAAGAGAATTTCCCCTTTGAGCACGGTTGGGTAGAATGGAAGATGTATAAATAGTCATGGCCTCGTGTTTCGTGAGTTGTTAACTAGCATGAACCCTAGGGCACACGAGAAAACGACCAGGGAAGTTTGCCAGGAAAGGTCCCTGAGTGGGCGCCTGGAGAGTAAGTGGCAAAGGGGCACAGGGAGGAAGAGTGGATGCAGGCAGGGTCAGACACACTGAGGGGCCTGCTGTGGGTGTTCCTAGGACGGGAAGTCTGTGAGAGAAGCCTGAGGCGCATCAGGTTTGGAGACCCGTGCTTCCTCTGATACATGGGAGGAGAGTCATGCACGGTGAGACATGGTAATGACCTGGTGGGATGTGGGTCAACTAAAGAAGACCTGGGAAGGAAGAGGATGCTGCCCTCATTCACAGAGAGACAATGGGAGAGTGGTAGGGGCTGGAGAGGAAATGCCACCCAGAACAGCATGTCTTATTAGTGGAACTCGGGAAGAAAGTGGTAAGAGAGCCAGCTTGTAAAATGAAAAGTTTTCCCAAAGGACCTGGGATTAATCTCTCTGCTTGATAAATGTACAATATTGAGATGTAGTTTGGGGGACCAGTGAGTAGTTAAACTACACAAAAGAGCTGAAAGCTGACGTCACAGTGCACTCCCGTGGCAAGCCCAGAACCCATGCACACTAGGCTTGAAGGAAGCTGTAATCAGGGCTACTGAGCAGCAGGATCTAGGCCTGTGGGAGAAGCCTATGTCATCTCCTGTGTGCTGTGTGTCACTGCACATTTGACACACGTGGTTTCATAAGCATGTTCCCAGTTTATAAGCAAGCACTAACGCTCCCCTCTTCTAGCTGAAGGAAGCAGGAGGTCCAAGGGCCGCATGACACACCCAAGTTTCAGGGCCCACCTCGGAATGGAGACTGAGCTGGCTTCATACCCTGAACACTTTTCCCAGCCTCTGGCTAGGATGCTGCGTCCCTTTTGTGTCTGCATGGTCTGGCTTTCCTGTTACCAGAGTCCAGTTTTTGTGACTTTCTTCCAGAAACAGGACCCCATCAGCACCACGCCTGCTCTGTTTCTTTCTCCTGAAGTTCCCTGCAGATTAGAAACTGATCCTGCATCCCATGTATGGCTGACTGCAGTGGAGAGACACCTGGGCTCCCGATTAAGTCTATCATGGGGAGCAACAGAAAAATGGGGTGGACACTGGCAGGAGGCAGGTCTAGTCAGCATCTTACCTGTTGGTCCCAAGATGGAACTGGAAACCGCTTGTAAAAATCTTAGAGAGAAGCCAGGCAGTGGTGGCGCACGTCTTTAATCCCAGCACTCGGGAGGTAGAGGCAGGTGGATCTCTGTGAGTTCAAGGCCAGCCTGGTCTACAAGAGCTAGTTCCAGGACAGGCTCCAAAGCTACAGAGAAAGCCTGTCTCTAAAAACAAAAAAACAAACAAATAAAAAAATCTTGAGAGAAAGACTTGTTTTAAACTCCTGGGTTGTTGTTTAAAGCCATGTGCCTGCATGTTCCTATCTTGAATTAGCCATCTCCTGTGAAAAACTTCATTGATAATCTTTTTAAGGAAACATGCTAGGACTAGAGGGATGGCTCAGTTATTAAGAATACCTGCTGCGCTTCCAGAGGATTGGGTTCAATTTCCAGCTCCCACATGGCAGCTCACAGCAGTCTGTGATTCGCATTCCAGGGGATCTGATGCCCTCTTCTGGCTTCTGTGGGCACTGCACACACAGGTTGACATACATCCACATAGGCAAAACACAAATACACATAAAAGAAGAAAAGAAAGCATGAGCTCAGCGTTTGATTGAGGCATTAGCCATCAAGAGGCCTGCTGGGGTTTTTTGGTATATGTATGTATGCATGCACGGTGTGAGGGCACATGTATGTGCAGGTAGGCATCAGATATGTGTACATGCATGTAGAAAGCAAAGGACAAGCTTGGGTGGTTCTCGGGCACCATAGAACCTTCTCTTTGTTGTCAGTCTCTCAGTGGCCTGGAGCTCACCAAGGAGTGCAGGCTAGCTGGCCCCACTGAGCCCAGGAGTTGCCTGTCCCTGCCTCCTAAACACTGTGATTACTAGGACATGCTCCCACCGCTGGATTATTGTTTTCTAACATGGGTTCTGGGTACTGAACTCAAGTCCTGGCACTTGCCAGGCAAGCACTTTACCGACTGAGCGGTGTCCCCAGGCCAGGCAAGTGATTTTGCATTTGTAACTGAATAGGGTGGGGTGGGGGGGGGGGAGGGATCGTTAGGCAGAGCTCTCAGGTGACAAGCAATAAAGACAACATCCTCATAAGAGCATCTTTCCTAGAATCAAATTGGTTGGGGGTTCATGTCGTAGATCCGCCATCCGAGTACTAAGCAGGCCCAACCCTTCTTAGTTTCTGAGGTCAAATGAGGTCTGGCACGCTCAGGGTGGTACGGCCATTTCTAGCTAACGATGGAGAGAAGAAAAGCGCTCACCCTAGCCCTGCCTTCTCTTGCAGCCACAGCCCAGCACACAAATACTACCTGGCTACAGATCCCATGAGCGGGGCCGTCTTCCTGTCTGACACCAACAGCCGGCGGGTCTTCAGGATCAAGTCCACCACAGTGGTGAAGGACCTGGTCAAGAACTCCGAGGTGGTGGCGGGGACTGGGGACCAGTGTCTCCCCTTTGATGACACTCGCTGCGGAGATGGCGGGAAAGCCACAGAAGCCACGCTCACTAATCCCAGGGGTAAGGCCTCACATTTAAAACCATACCATCTGTTTGGTGTTGAATATATATATATGTGTGTGTGTATATATATATATGTATATATACACATATATATACATATACATATATTCAGTCAAATATATTATATAATATTAATGTCACAATTATAATATATATTTGACTGAATATATATATATATATATATATATATATATATATATATATGTGTGTGTGTTTATATAGATATACTAGGACATGTTCCCACTGCTGGATTATTGTTTTCTAACATGGGTTCTGGGTACTGTAATATATAATGTTACAATTATATATTATATAATATACATGTATAAATAGATTATATGATATTTATTATGTATATAATAGGCAATCATCAACAAGAGGCCTCGGAGACAGAGAGTGCACAGGGGAACTGTGGTAATTCCACCTGCCGGAATCCACCCCAGTTAACAATGCCTGTCTGTGCTCGTCTTTTTTTCTGAATGTCTGTGCACACTAGTCAGTGCAGTCAAAGAAGAAGAAACCACATCAAGCACACTATCCAGTAGGCTGCTTTTGTCTAAACGACACAACGTGACTTCTCCAGGACAGTAAGCAGCCTCCTGGCTACTCATTTTTCGCAGCCGCGTCGGGTTCTTACACACCGATGCCCCATCCCTTGCAGGCTTTCTCAGTTACTGCCACACGAAGGCACTGTCCTGTGCCTTCCTTGCATGGACATAGACTCAGTCTCTAATTCTCCAGTTTTCAATGATTTAACAAGTGCACAGAGCTTTGTGGGACACCGCAAAGCTCACTGGAGCAGAATAAATGAATCTTGGATGGGAAGTACTCTGATAGGAGCAAGGAGACACAGGCCCTGAGATGTAAGAAGGAAGGGCTATGTTTGGGGCTCTAAGCTGAGAGACCTGTATGCCTGGAGACTCAGGAGGCCTGACAGGAGAGACGCCATCATTGCCAGCGAGCGTCCTCCAGAAGAGCTTTTAAGATGTTGCAAACAAGATAGCCAGAAACTTCCAGCCTCTAGACCCTCAGGCCCACTCAGTAAAATGAGGGTAATAATACCCTCTGTGCCTACCTCCTAAGACTGTTCTGGGGTCAAAGTTGATACATTTCACATGCCCCCTGTAAAACTGTTAGAAATGGTTACATTGTTAAGGAGCACCAGGTTTCAAGGTCTGGTTTCAAATCAAAGCAGTAGACTTCAGAAAACTCGAGTATGCAAATTCAGGCTTTGCCGTCCAGTAACTGTGTGATGTCGGGGGAGTTGTTGAACCTCTCTGAACCTCATTTGTCTCCTTATTACAAGGTCATAATCCAACTTAAATGTCAGGAATATAAATGTCTACTAGGGACAGCTGGGTGCACAGGAAACATAACAGCAGAGGAGATCCCCATTACTGCCATTATAGTGTGTTATGTAATCACGCAGATGCGCCGGGATAGCATCATGACAGGTTGTCTCCCTAACTAATGGAATAGTCAGGTGACAACTGCAGGGGAAGTATTGTGTCATCAACGGTTAAATTCCCTCTTAGTTGAGACTTCTTAGTAAGGAGTAAGCAGCAGAGAACAGGCCCAGGTTTGCACAAGATTCTTCTCTGATACTAGACGGCTCTCAGCAGAGGCTTCTACCCTTTCCAACTTCAGTTTCCCGGTTTGTAAATAAGCAGGAAAGTTCCATCTTTCCAAATCTTACCCTGTCAGATGCAGCACCCTAGTCTCTCAGAATTGAAACGGTTTCTTGCCGAGAGGTTTTTCTCCTCTCCTGGCGTTTCTCCGTTGTTCTGAACGCCTGCAGTCCCCTCCCTCACCCACCCAGATGGAGTGGTGGCACCATTGCCCGAAAGCCTGTAATTAGGCCAGATAGGAGTGACAGGGATGCAGCAATCCGCAGTCACATCGCAACAGGGAGGAGGAAAGATGTCCGTCTATTTAGCACAACAAAAGGAGAAAAATATGAAGTAATTAATCAGGGGACAGATCACTTCTATTAGCCTGTGCGGCTGACTTCGTAAACAAGAAACCCAATTGTTCGTGGAGCGCTCATCAGTCCTGGCAGAGGGAAGGGAGAGACGGGGCATAGCCAGGCAGACAAGCAGACTCATGCCCCGCTGCCGAAGGAAGGAAATTAATTGCCATTCCAGGCAGGACCACAGCAAAGGCTTCCAGCCCTGAAGCTGTCTGCACATGGGTGTTAAGTCCTCTTCCAGCCTCCCAGACCTTTACAGAGGGATGGGATGAGCATTCTGGCCGTCACTCAGATACCCCTGGAGGCCTTAACCCATCCTGCCGGCCTGGAAGAGACACAAGGACCTGAGAGCCCACTAGGCCCTGGAAGCACACAGTATTGGCTGCTGGTTCCCGGTCACAATGGTCACTGATGAATATTGGGAACTAGCAATTCCAAGTCAGTTGTGCCTCCAACTGTGTGTGTGTGTGTGTGTGTGTGTGTGTGTGTGAAGAGGAACACAGGGATGGCTCACCAGGGCCGTGGGGCTTGGGTTCCGATACTAGAAGGTCTTCACTTTACCAACTGAGGTCTCTCCCTGGTCTCCAGTCAGAAGCTGTCATCCCATACAGCCACGAGGAGACCCAAGAGTCAGGAGGGAAATCACAAAATCAGGAGCCTCAGAGCTCACCCTGCCCTCTCCCAAGACCTCCTCTAACCCCTCCTCACATTGGCTGGCCAAAAGAAAACAGAGCCAATCACCCTTTATGTCACCACCGCCCTCCTGGGTCTGTCATTTCCCACGGTACTGCATGTGGTTCTGACCCAGACCTGTGCCTCCATTTCAAAACCCATCTCCCCTCACTGTCTACATGGGTGGCAGATGCCGCCCCGGAACTTTGGATGCACACATGAGCCATTGTCCCTGCCATCTCCTGAGTGGTGTTGCCAGATGTGAGGCCAAGTAGAAGCTCTCCAGGTAACTATGAAATGAATCCCTGGCCAGAAGGAGCCAACTCCTGAGTGACCTTCTGACGGTTTTGTACCATCGTTACCATCACCCAGGGTGTCCTTCGGGAATGCAAACCTCATGTGAGATCTCAAGCAGCCTGCTGGGGTGCCACAGGCTCCTTAGAAGTTCTCAGGCAGGCCTGAGGCAGAAATGCGGGCTGCAAACAGCCCTTTGATCTAACAAGTAAGAAAACAGATGCCAGGCGCTCCAGTGACTTGGTCACAGAGACCTGGGAAGGGTGGTCAGGTGAAAGGGAGGGTGCTGAGTGACAGCCTGGACACACACACACACGAGATCCATGACTGTGTTTGCAGGACTTCAGAAAGAGGTTCCTTTAAATAATTCCCAGGGAGGCTGGCAAAGGTCTTCCTTGACGTTTCTGTTAGTAGCCAAGTGAAAGAAGAAACCTCTCTTGTGGCAGCAAAGCGGGAAGCCAGAGCCTGAGGTCTGGGACACTAGATTTTAATCCCTCGCTCATGGGACACTCAAAGCCTTGACACCGTCACTGCACCCTGTTCATCTGTGGAGGGGGCTGGAGGGGCCGGGGATGTAGCTCAGTTGATAGAGAGCTTGCCTCAAGCACACAGAGCCCTAGGTTCAAGCCCCAACCCTGCATAACACTGGTCATGCTATATAATCCCAGCAGTCTTGGAAGGTAGAGACAGGAGTTCCAAAGTTCCATCTTCTCTATATCTGGAACTCAAGACCAACCTGGGCTATAGGACGTCCTGTCTGAAAGAAATAATAACAATTTTAGATTCTTTTTCTTAAAATTTAAAAGTAAACAAACCTAAGTGATAAACGACATGGTAAATAACAAAAGGGAGCTGAAGGGACTGGGGTGTAGCTCAGTGCTCTGGTGCTGACCTCCGTGTACGAGACCCTTGCAGAGGGACAGAGAGCTGGATGGGAGAAGATGCCAGATCCCAAAGCTGTCTACTGCACGGCTCCTTCTCATCTCCAGTGCTGACCCCTGCCTGGCCTTCTCCACCCTAGGAATTACAGTGGACAAGTTTGGGCTCATTTACTTCGTGGATGGCACAATGATCCGACGTGTCGATCAGAACGGGATCATCTCCACCTTGCTGGGCTCCAATGACCTCACCTCCGCCAGGCCCCTCAGCTGCGACTCTGTCATGGATATTTCTCAGGTGAGAAGACTTTGTGTGCTGGGACCCTGTGTGCCGTGTGTCCTTCCTATCATCTGTCACCAGATGACAACTCCTCTTGCCTTTGAATGGGTCTCACTTGGTTCAGGGCCTGTGCTGAGTTCCCAGAGTTCAAAGACAAGGAAGAAACTACACCAGCCTAACTGCCCTGAGAGTTCACCATTAGGTCTAACAAGTATGTGGCTGGATTCGGGACTCAGAGGACAGTGATAGAATCCTTCCAGGGCCAGCGGACCAGGGTGGACCTAAACTCATAGCCCTGAACCTCCTCTTTGACACCATGTACAGACAGACACCTGTTTATTTTCTGGACCATAAGCTGCACGAGGACAGGAATTCAGCCTGCCGTCTCCTCTACTTAACCAAGGTGCCTGGTATACCGTCAGAGCCCAGCCCGTATTTGTGGGACAGCTGGCTAAACCCTAGCTGTACCACTCAACAGGTCCCTAGCTACCCCAAGCTCTGGTGCGTGTATGAGTTTGTGAGATCTTTTGAACCTCATTTCTCCTAACCATATACCGAAGTGATTGACATCAGCACAGCATGGGATCAACAATGATCATCACTTGAGATGTAATGATTGGAAAGTATCGTAGCATCCACTTTCAGTAAAGAGGGGGCGTGGGTACCAGGTTTGGACCAGGGATTTGCAGGATGACAAAAAAAAAAAAAGAACAGAGATGGTATATGCAAAGATGCAAAGATGTTACCAGGCCTCGTGTGGTCAAAGGACACTGGAAATCTGGGGATGCAGCTCAGTTGATAGAATATTGCTTGCTTGGCATTCACAAGGCCCCAAGTTCAATCCCTAGGTCCATGTAAGTTAGATATGGTGGCACACTCCTGTAATCCCACTTCTGAGACATAAGGTTGGAGAACCAAAGTTCAAACTCATTTTTAGCTTACGTTCAAAGTCAGCCTGAGATACATGAGACCCTCAAAAACATTGGAGGATTGAATGCCAAAGCAGAGGGCACTTTGGAAGGAGCTGAGATAGGAAGAGTGGCCTAGAGCCACTGAGAGAAGAACCTCATACTACAGGGATTTGGGCCTCAGAAGGTAGACATCAGGAATCCCGATGGTGACTGGCTATCCAGTATATCCTCTGATGATCTGGCAAGGGCCAGGTTCTTTACTGCCAGGCCCTGGATCAGAGCTTGGCTTGAGTTCAATTGGTGAGCAACCATCCTGCTAACATTATCGGAGCCTAGGGAATATAAAGAAGCTGATGATGGCCTCTCCCAGCCTGGCTTGCCGTGCCTTCCTCTGTTATTAACACCCATCTCTGAACACCTTCTCCAAGCCCCGTGACCACACCATTGGCAGTCCCAGTACCCACATCCCCTTCCAGCCCAATGCTGGTGCAGTGTCCGTGTGCCAGCTTCCACGATGATGCCTTCCAGAGAAGAATCTGTTCCCTGCCACTGTCTTTGCAATTTGGCAGGCTTCGCCCTGCTGGCTTGAGAGTTTCTCTCTCCAGTCTGTGAGCAAGCTAGAATTACCCAGTAGGAAGCCGCCAAAACCTAAGGATGTGCAGACAAGTATTTTCGCCTCTCTAAATGGGCCCTCAACCAGCCAGCACAGGGTGCCCAAACATTTTCAATCCACACACCAGAAGGTTGTTTAGGTTTAGATACAGGCACTGCCCGGCACTCACACCAAAGGCTCTGGAAGGCAGCTGGCATGTTGAAGGGGAGAAAAACAGAAAAGCCACATCCTGAGAAATCACGGAGTAAAATCTCTACTCCTGGTCCTTGCTGCCTTTGTCTGAATGTAGGAACTGGATTTTTTTTTTTCTTAACACGGGCATCTGTTTTTATACACACATATGGGAGGCGGCATTTGTTTTCAGGGACCCCTCTAGTGACAACACCCAGCTCGCTGGCTTTCCTGTGGGGACCAAGAAGGAGAGCCACAGAAACCATGACCAAAGCCTACAGAGCAGATAGGCATGGAATGTGGGAGGAGACACGCTGCGGGAGGGCATGCGGTAGACAAGCAGACGCCACAGGCCTGGAGGCTGATTCTCAGCTACCCAGGTAGAATCACCACCGCTCCATACGGTAGAGCCAAAATGAGAACTTACCATGTGCCGGGTACTCACTCTGCTGGAAATGAGCTGAGTACAGCTTCTCTTTTCTCCTTTATTTGTCACCATCATCCCTGGGGTAGAATGAGGGAAACTGAGGCTGAGAGAAAGGAAATGCCTTTATAAACAGAGCCCTGCCCTGGGTTTCATCAAGGATGGGGAATGAATCTTTCTAAGGAGATCGTGAACATAATTGCCTAGCACAGGGCCACCAGCTGGTAATAGGATGTAAATATTCCACGAAACTCTATAAAGAACTTCCCTCTCTATGTTCTCATTCGCCACAGCTCCTCTGGATAATGTTGATTGCTCTGATATGGGAAAAGAAGTTCGGGGTCTCAGAAACTTGATTGAGGTGACCTGACCCATTAGTGACTGTGGAGGGGAACAGGAAGTGAGGTGCCCTGCGCCATCCCTCCTGCCCTGCGCACCCTTTGTAGACATTCACTGAGTTATTCCTGTGACAACACATTTGCATACGCTCATCGCTCTGTGGCAAAGCAGTGGCCTCGAGACATCTTGATGGAGATGCAGAGTGCCCAGGACAGCTGGGAAAGGGAGCTCCCTCCACCCCAGGTCCCTTGAACATAGGCTCCTGAGGGCCACAGGAGCTCTGAGGTTCAGGCCTAACATTTTGGTGATGGGGATTGAAGCTGTGGCGGCATTATCATTAGCCAGAGGAGAGAGGGGAACACATGGGGTCTGGTCCAGTCCGTCAGAGCCCAGAGCAGCTGAGAGCAGGGATCCCCTTTCCCAGGCACATGGTCACATAAACAAACAGAAAATGCTAAACTGCTCTGCTTGCCTGTTCCTTTCTTCTGTCCCCCGCCCCGCCTCTACTCCTTCCCCCCCCCCACCCATCTTTTCATCATAACGACAGGCAGAAAGGTCTCTGCAAGGAAGTCCCCAAGGTGCCACAGGACCAGAGGGCATAAAATATTTAGCGGCCAGTGTTGACAAGGAATGGGTTTTAGGAAATTGAAAAGTCTCCTGTCACTTTAAAGCAAACTGTGTGTTCTTGATGTAGCTGAAAGCTGGCAGGACCATGCCCCAGAGAGCACTGGATGGGAGGCGGGGGCAATTGCTCTGCGGGGTCTGTAGCTCTCCTGCTCTGCAGACAGGGGCTGGGGCCAGTGAGGAGCAAGAGACTTTTTGACCCATCCTGAGAAGGACTCTAAGCTAAGGGGACAGAGAGAGGCAAACTCACAAACTGGTTTAGAGGTTTTATTGTTGTTTGCTTGGTTGTTTTTTTGGTTTTTATTTTGGTATTGTTGTTTTACATTTGCCGACAACCACATAGACACTGTAGCAACTTTTTTAAAAAAAATTAAAGTAAAAAGAATACTGGCATCATCCTTGATCCCAGAATGGTTAATATGTTGGTATGTTTCCTTTGAGCTTTATACCTCCTCTTTGTCTGTAAAGTAACTTCTGCATTTCCCCTAGCTGGTTTCCGTCTATTCCTGTAGCTCTGTAGTCTGCTCTTTCTATTTAGCAGGTAGCAAACACTTCCCCCACTTCATGCCATAGCCACCTAGAGAGAGCAGTACCGCTCACCCTGTGGGTTGTGACCCCTTCGAGGTCACACATCAAATATCCTGCATGTCAGATATCCAAATTTCAATTCGTAACAGTAGCAACATGAAGTTATGAAGTAGCAACAAAGTAATTCTATGGTTGAGGGGTGAACGCAGCATAAAGAACTACAAGGGAGGGTTGCAGCACTAGGAAGGCTGAGAACCATTGACCGACAGCATCATGGGAAAAGATTATTCACAGGTTTCTAAATTACAAGCCAAGTAAATGTGCTATCATTATTTAGCTAGTTCTTGTTTTTTGGGCACCTGAGTTGGTTCTGTTTGGTTTGGGGTTTTTGTTGTTTTGTTTTGTTGCCATTATTAAAATGGCCATGATTTAAGCAAAAAAGAAAAGTTGGGTGGTGGTGGCACACTCCTAGGGAGGTAGAGACAGGCGGAGCTCTGTGAGTTCGAGACCAGCTTGATCTATAAGAGATAGTTCGAGGACAGGCTCCAAAGCTACACAGAGAAACCCTGTCTTAAAAAAGAAAAAAAAAGAAGAAAAAGAAACCACTATAAACACTACTAGCATGCAAGAGAAAATTCCTAGAAGAGAGACTTTCTAATTACATTATTCACATTGTTTGAATAAGCCCCGAATCAGACCATTGATTGTCAAGGGCTTGCAGGAAGCTCAGGAATTTCAAAATGATGGGTCTTCAGGTAGAGCTGGAAAGCCAGCTGCAAGAAGCACAGGTCAATATTTCCAGAATTCGTGCAGCGTGGCTGGGCCTCTTGGGGACATTATTGGCCAAGGGCTTCCCTTGGCCAGCCCTTCCCAGTGTGATACATGCAACAGTCCTTGGAGTAAAACTGCTCACCCCAAACCCTGATGGCTGCAGTCACCTAGGCACCCACTCGAGGCTCACCATGACTCCAGCCTGAGGGGGGGGGGGGGGGGTGGAGAGAGAGAGAGAGAGAGAGAGAGAGAGAGAGAGAGAGAGACTGACTCAATGTGAGTCTCCAGGCTCTGAGCCTACGTCCCACTACAAGTCTCATTAATCCCTTCTATATGACCTGCTCTCTGAAGTCCTAGAGACACCCCCTCCCCCATGTCAATCAGTCTTTGCTGAGCTCCAGTGTGAACTTGGTCCCCAGGGATCGGTTCAGATTCAGTAGGTGTGGGCAAGCTTGTCATTCTGCATTTCTGACCAGCTGCAAGGGGGTGCCAACCGTCACTGCTGGTCTGATTATTTCCCTTTAAGAGAAGAACCCAGATATGGTTCCCAGCTCAAGAAATAATCACCTAGGAAGTCACTTTTAAACAACCCCAGCGAGCAGGCCAGCTACACCAAGGACCCGACTGATCTGACTGCTCAGAACATTTCCTACAATCTTGGTCGATAGCACAAATAGGGGGCCAAAATCGAAAACCACTAGTCTAGAATCCTGTGTCAGACGGGCATGGATGTTCTGGCTTTACATCCCCCAAGCCTAACTTTGTGTTAGTCACCTTCATGCGTGAGCCATGTCAGCATCTCATGGAGATCTTTTGAAACCCCCCAAGCAACTCCCATGTCAGCCTCCAGACTCCATCCTCTTCTCCCTCCTGCATCCATTATCCATCATACGAGTCCGAGCACTTACTGTGTGTCGGGAGGTACAGTGGTCACCCCTATTCTCCCAATATGAATTTTGAAGCTAAGAAAAGCAAAGTAACCTGCCAAAGGTCATGAGTGGATGGGTCTAGGTTCAGAACTAAGCCTGTCCGACTCCAGAGTCTACATCTCGAGGCTGTGGGCCCCTTCTTCTGTTTCTGCCCTGCTGGATCAAACTGAATATAAACACCCTTGGGACACAGTCGTGGGTTATTGGGAGTTTGGGGGTGATGATTAGTGAGCATCCTGGCGTCATTTGAGTGTCCGTGTCTTCATTGTCAGGTTCGCCTGGAGTGGCCCACAGACTTAGCCATCAACCCAATGGACAACTCCCTCTACGTCCTTGACAACAACGTGGTCCTGCAAATCTCCGAAAACCACCAGGTGCGCATTGTCGCCGGGAGGCCCATGCACTGCCAGGTCCCTGGCATCGACCACTTCCTGCTGAGCAAGGTGGCCATCCACGCCACCCTGGAGTCAGCCACGGCTTTAGCTGTCTCGCACAACGGGGTCCTGTACATCGCCGAGACAGATGAGAAAAAGATCAACCGCATCAGGCAGGTCACCACGAGCGGTGAGATCTCCTTGGTCGCCGGTGCCCCCAGCGGCTGCGACTGTAAAAACGATGCCAACTGTGATTGCTTCTCTGGCGATGATGGCTACGCCAAGGATGCCAAGCTGAACACCCCCTCTTCCTTGGCTGTGTGTGCTGACGGGGAGCTCTACGTGGCTGACCTTGGAAACATCCGGATCCGATTCATCCGGAAGAACAAGCCTTTCCTCAACACCCAGAACATGTACGAGCTGTCCTCCCCCATCGACCAGGAGCTGTACCTCTTTGACACCAGTGGTAAACATCTGTACACCCAGAGCCTGCCGACGGGAGACTACCTGTACAACTTCACCTACACAGGGGACGGTGACATCACACACATCACCGACAACAACGGCAACATGGTGAACGTCCGCCGGGATTCTACCGGAATGCCCCTCTGGCTGGTAGTCCCAGATGGCCAGGTCTACTGGGTGACCATGGGCACCAACAGTGCACTCAGAAGCGTCACCACGCAAGGACACGAGCTGGCTATGATGACATACCATGGCAACTCCGGCCTCTTGGCGACCAAGAGCAATGAAAACGGGTGGACTACGTTTTACGAGTAAGTATCAAGATGGGGCTGTGTTCTATGGGATGCGCTGTAAGAGTGAAGATGAATGATTTGGGGGAATGTACTTTTTATGGATTTCCTTTTAATTCAGATTGGGACTGAAGACCCTTACTGGTGATGGTTTGTTCTGCATGGTCGTGCTCTGAGTAATTTATCCTAAAAGGGAAATGGTAGATTATGCACGGTCATGTTCTGAATGATTTATCCTAAAAGGGAAATGGTTTGGACTCATAGACACGGCCTTCAATCCCAGCTCTACCATGGCCTTAATCTCACTAGGTGTCACTTTCCATACCTGTAAAATGGATACAGTAGACCACAGCAACATGATGTCAACCTAAACTACTTCATGTGTTAATATTTTCATATAAACAGGAAGGTAAGGATAAAGGGAACGCCCCAAATGAATGAATTTTCTACATAATTGAGGTTCCATTTTTTTTTTTAATTTTGGATGAACTTAGGGCATTCATTACACTCTCCCTTCTCAAACATATAAACATCGCCTGGCCTTTCTTTTAGGAAGTCAAGGTCATCAAGGAATGGTAACAGTTGTAGGTCATGCTGTGCTACAGAATTAACTTCCAGGAGTGGGGACACAGAGCCCTTCACCCCTAAATGAACCAAATGATTTTGAGCATTTGTTTATGGGCTTCTGTAAGCAATGGGTGTGCTCTGACTGTCTCCCTCCTCACCGCAGTGATGCATTTGTGCTCTACTTTCGGGTGTAATACGGTGTTCACTTCAAGTGCCTGCTTCCTCCTCTCCATACGAGATAGGCATCTCAAAGCAGTGCGGCCAGAGGGGCAGAAGTGCAGCTCACGACAGTCCCAGGCAAATTATTCACCTCACATACATGTAGACGACGGATGTGCTGTTTTAATGAATGGGTCTTGTAACATCTCTTTTTCAATATGAGATTTTTTTTTTAAGTTTCTCTTCTTTGTCATGTTTGAGACAACTGAGCCTGCAGAATATGTCAGCATGAGACAGGCCGTGGGAGCTGGCAGAGAACTTGGTCTTGTTGAACATCAGCTCTGTGCTAGAAACCGAGTCATTGAGCTAATCCTCACGGCAGCGGGGGCGACAGGTAGTATTTTCTCCTTTACAAAGGCGGAGACTGAGGGAGACTAGTTTGCAGGCTGTAATAGAGCAAGAACACTACAGTGGACCCCGTGTTGGGAGGGGGCTATAATTGATTTTTAAATATAATTTATACTAAAAAAAAATGTCATAGCCCCATGTACAAAGTTCACCAGCTAAATTCCTTTCTCCAAACAGGGGCCTTGTTAATTGCAAAAAAAAAAAAAAAAGACAAAGATCCAGGAAAATAGCAATTATCTTGATTAGCTCATTGAAATGGAAATACACTAAATAATTCAATTTCCCCCATTGCCTGGTTGAAACCCCTTATACATTATTTAGCCAATACAGGGGTTTCTTTGTCAGAGCAAATCTGTTCACGCAATTAGTTCCCAAGGTCACTCCCTTTATCAAATCCCAAACTGAATGCAAACACATCACTGCTGTGTGTCAGACCCTTTCCCCCAATATCTGTACAGCACCTCGAGTTTGCAAGCCCCTGGGCCTGACACAGAAATGCATTGACAAGGGTCTCCCCAGTCAGTAAGAATTACCATCTGCGTGTTCCTTTCACCTATGAACACACCAGGCTCAAAGAAAGTGCATGATAAGCTTCGAGTCATGCAGTCGGTATAAAGCCAGAGCATAGTGGGTGCTCCTCCTGCAGCTCTGCATCTCCTGGCATTCATGAAGCTGAGGCAGCCTGGGCTACATGCACAGTGAGTTCCAAGCCAGAGCTGTGCTACATAGTGAGACCCTGTCTCCAGAAGAGAAGCAAGCAAGGAAGCTGACAGAATGAGGCTAGTTCCAAAGTTGACTCTCTGGGTGGGAATAAGCCACAAACTCCCCCACGTCCTGTAGGAGAAAGTGGCTCCAGCCTCCCACAGTGCCCATGACAGCTCCTCTTATAACTACACCAGCAGTAAATATGTGGGTTCCTTACTAATTCTTTAAATTCATTTCTGCTTCAAGTTTAGGGCTTGCCACCTCATAGGTGCTTAGTAAATATTTTATGAATGAAATGTTGACTCAGGAGGGGAAGGGAGATAAAGAAGGCACACACGCTGCCGTGAGAATACTAGATGCAGATCCTGGCTCCGGCATTATCGGTGCACCTGGCGGGACGCAGAATTCAATTCATACAGTTCAAATAAAATACTTGGCTTTTGGTCTGCGCCTGAGAGATATGAGAGCTAAAAAGAGCATCCTTCCCAACTTTACAATGAAAATAAGCCCGACAAGAGACAAATATATGTGTTTTCTTCAAATTCCTTCCCGGGGGTCTCAGGGCAAGCAACTGGCCCAAATCCAAGAACTCAACCCACAGAAAAGGACCACGTCTGTGCTCTGGCTTGCCTGGGTAGACATGGCCAAACACTGGAGTAGAAGTTTAGCCAGAGCTGCAGAAATTAATGTGGGAAGTGCATGTCTTCTTCATGATCCTCCTGACCCCTGCAAACTACAACAGGGGTTTCTACATATATATGCATGCACACGCGCGCGCGCGCGCACACACACACACACACACATGCACACACACATACAGAAAATCTTAAGGAACCCACTCTCACAATTGACATGATGGAGGGGCCCAGCAGCTGCTAAGGGGAATCATAGTACCAGCCCACTCCACCCATGCCTTTCTCACCCTATCCCCAATAAGGAGCAAGGGGAAAGGGCATCCGCACATTCTCCTCAGACACTGGTGAAAATCCACTCAGCTCAATGGGAGACAAAGGAGGGGAGGATGGAATAACCGCTGCCGAGAGAAGGGTGGGGCTGGGTCTCCAGTCCAGGACTGCCACCTAAGAAGACCAGGAGCACAGAACAGCTCGGGCACCCTCGGGCACCTCCCCGGAAGCCCTGTCAGAACCCTAGAGAATGCGCCCCTACCACCACAACTGCCTGAAATCTTGAAGCAAAAGCAAGCAAATACGGTAGAGGAAAGGATAGGGAGCAGGCCAGCACACGGAAGGAGACACCCCTCTAAGGCAGTACATAGGAAGAACCCAAGGCTGAAGGGGCAGTGACTTAGAGGCAGGGAAAAAGAGTAAATAACAGCTCTGGCAAAGCAGTTTCTCAATCAAGGTACTGCTGAGAAGTTGGTGCCTGCGATGCACCAAGGTTAACCATACGGTGAACTTCGAAGCCAGCCCTACTCCTAAGGCTATGACCTCACACCCCCACACTCACCTCTGTCTCCTCTTTGTTACACAAGATGTCACGTTTTCCAGCTGACAGTGCAAAGAGGCGAGAGAAAGCAAAAAAAAAAAAAAAAAAAAAAAACATAGCCATCAGACCCCCACATCCAGATATGACAGCAATGTTGAAAACCCCTTTCAGGGAATTTAAAACAACTGTAATTACATTAACAGCTCTAATGGAAAAGGTGGGCCGCAGGGCAAGATCAGATGGACGGTTTCAGCTGAGATGTGGAAAAAAAAGAATCAAATGGAAATGCTAAAACTGAGAACCACGGCCACAGAGATGAAGGATGCCTCTGATGGGCTCAGGGCTCTTGATGACAGCGTGACACAGTTGGGTCAATGGAAATTACCCAGACGGACACACAAAGAAGAAAAGATAAACCCACGGAGCGGGGCGTTCAGGAGCCAGGAGAGAATATCAAATGGCCAAATGTGCATGTCATAGAAGTCGAGAAAAGAGAGGATAGGCAGAAGAAATGCTTGAGCGAATAATGACTGATAATTAATAGTGGGCCACCGTCCAAAGACGCTCAGAGAGTGACAGGCCAAATACGCATGCACACACACACATACACAGGCGGAAACTTCTAAGCATATCACATTCAAACTATCGAAACGTAGAGAAAGGGGAATTTTCTGAAGACAGCCTAAAGACGGGGGAAAGATGGGATATTTTATAGGAGGGGGAAAAATGATAAAAAAAAAAAAAACAATCACAGCAAATTCTCACCAGAAACCCTGCAAACTAGAAGACAGGAATGCAAAAAGGAAAGTAAAACTAATATCTGACCACTAAGACGTGATTCCAAAAATGTGTTTAGATGAAGGCATCTAGAGGGACTGGTAAAGATAAGGGATCACAACAAGGAGCTGAGACCCACGGGCACTAAGAAGAATGAACAGCCATTACCAGCCTCCAGGCTAAGGGGGACATAGGACAAGTCACTGAAGCTGTAGCCTCGGTCAGAGACACCCCTCCAAAGAAGATGTGGTTGGCCAGCTGGGAAAAGGACCACAGGAGATAGTGAAGGAAACCATGTCCTGATCTCAGCTCTTTCCCATGCCCACCGCTGACTTAACCCCACTGAAGCAAACCAGCAGGGTGCCCAGTGTGCAATCTAAAGCCGCCAGCCTCTCAGGGAACAAAGAACATCAAAGGGCAGGTCTCACAGTCACCAACTGGCTCCATGTTCCATGGAAGAGGGAGAGCCAGGATTCCATCCCTGCTGGACGTGACTCCTAAGTGTTCTGTCCCATGCTGAGACACCTGGCCTTAGAACAGCATCCGTGAGCTTATAAAGTCTGCAGCTCTTATGGATCTCAGGAATCCGGAAGGCTAGAATTCATTGTTTGAACTCAGTCTTGCGGTAAATACTCAGTGTAAGTCATGACTGCAAAACCCAGAAAGTTCTCTGGCTCTGCCAGAACACAGGACCTGAGGAATGCCCGGTGATGTGATGTCATCCATTGCCGTGACTCGAAGCCGAGGGAACTACTGTTATAGCTGGCTTTGAACTCTAATTCTTTACCAACGGCACAGTGACCAGATCCTTTGCTGGTGACACTGGTATTTAGGACAATTACAGATGAAAGCCTTGAAAATCAACATCTTCGTTATCCAACCGAAAAGTCAAGATCAGCAAACGTTAAGTATCTCAGAGATAACTTGGCATATCCCCACCCCCACTTGCTGCACGTAGCGAGCTGCTAGCAGTGGAGTCCATGGTGTGAAGAAAGCCTTGGAGCACGTGTGAAGGTACCCTTTCACGGTCCTCTTCTGAAAGCCAAGTTCGCAGCAGCTCCATGAATCTTTTATGTGTCTTCTTTCACCGTGCTGTAAAGATGCTTCGGAAAACTGGCGTGAAGAAAAGTCAGCGGAAAAGAAACCCTGGCAAGCCAATCATCTGGCCCTCTTTACCTCCCCCCTCCCAACGGGGACCTGGCTCTGCAGCAAAGTGAGCTGCAGCCGGAGCCAAGCAGAACCTCTTGACCCACTTGAGACTTCCAAACAGGATTCCATTTCCCCACTTTAAAGAAGAGATGAACACAAAGGTTTTTTTTTTTTTCCTTATCTGAAACAGCATCACTTTTATGGAAAGTTTGTCCAAAAAAAAAAAAAAAAAAAAAACACAGTCTTTACGGTCAAGCAGACCTGATTTTGAATCTGCATCCTTCTATGACCTGTGTCCTTTTAGGCAAGACGATCATCCTCTCTGACCTCCGTCACTGTCATTCGTAAGACGACAATAACAATCCCTACCCTGAAAGATGCTAATAAACATGATGCTTGATACCACCTGAAAAGCACTCGGAACATTAACAAGCTCTTCTTTCTTCATATAGAAGGGGATATAAAGTAGATGACGGTTCTTAATCAGACCCCAAAAAATCAACAAAAATCGCCAGCATTCCCTTATTCAGTCAGTGAGCATCGCAGAGCAGAATCTCCATGCTCAGTCTCTTCCAGGCACTGAGAAACCGACAAGGCCCCTGTCCTCAAGGATCTTAAATTCTAATGTCAGGAGGCAGGTAAACAAGATAACAAAAATAGTGACAAGAACACAGAACAGTAATGAAGTAGAGAAGGGGGTGTCTGTTTTACAAACAGTCCCTGACTGTTTGTTAGTGTATTTGAACTGAAGCACACCAGATGTTGAAAGGAACTAGCTGGGCTTGTACTCAAAGGCAGCCATCAACCTCTGCAAACAGAAGAGCACCCCAGCACAACCTGGGCATGGCATGTTTGGAGCAGAAGCACAGAGACTCCAAGGAAGCTCAGAAGAGCAAGCTCAAAGAGACACAGGAAGGAGTCGGGTCACGTAGCCAACCTTCATTCACTTTATTAAGTACTCCAAGTTGTGGGCATTCAGCCAGGACAAGCTGAATCCCTCCCTTCAGGGGCCAACATTCCACGGAGGACAGTCCTAGGATATGGAAGGCCCTGCTGAGACGTTCAGAAGTTCACGTCTACTGCGTATTTGTGAGATGAGCATTAGTATGGTCAGCCATGGCGAAGGAAGCATAGCTGCCACAGTTACACCATGAACCTGCCTGTGTTACTACTGGCTGTGGTCAGACAGAGCCGAGTGTGGGCCTCCAGGCTCACCTCTGTCAAGGGTAGAGACAGGACCCCCGCTCAGACTGTTCCATCTCTCCTGTTTATAGAAGAAAACATACCGGTGCTTAGGGAGTGTCTGTCATAGAAAGCATGACTGTCAGGCCAGAGAGATGACACACACCTGTCATCCGTCACCTGTAAGGTAGAGGCGGAGAGGTCACCCCCCAGCTGCACAGTCAGCTCAAAGCCAGCCTAGGCTACACCAGACAAAGGTGGAGGCGGAAAGGTCACCCCCACCCCAGCTGCACAGTCAGCTCAAAGCCAGCCTAGGCTACACCAGACACAGTCTCAAAATAACACACCAAATCAACAAACAAACAAAAGCCATGATAAGCAGAGTTAAGACAATGTCTCAACATCACCCAAACAGACCCGGCGCCCAAAGCAACCACTTGGAGCTGGAGCTGTCTTTCCCTGGTGTCTCTCCTATGCCACAGTGACTCTCAGCAGGTCCATAGGGTCGTGCAGAGGCAGCCCACAGGGCAGAGGGCTCAGGGCCCGGATCGTGGGGGGCTCCAGTTCTCCCCACGATGTGAAAGGTAGAATACTCGGATAGGATAATCGCAAGTATTGACAAGAGGCCAGGGGATCGATTTCTCAATCCATTGGCATTTCTCAAGCTCTGGGAGACACTGAAATTAATGACTAGGAGACCAAAATTTATAAATTGGCTCTTCCATTTGATGTTCATTGAATTAAGACATTCAGTCCTTCTAATGGAATATGTGAAGAGTGGAAATTACTGGGTTTGGGCTGTGGCGTGTAAAATGAAAACCAGATCTTGAAGGCACAGGGCCTTTTCATTGTATCTTCCTCTGGCTCGATTTAATTATGCATTACAATCTACCTTCCATAATAATTGCAATTGTCCACCTGCTGCAAAGCCGCCTTCTGTTTGGAGATGAACACTCGGGGGAGAAGCCGGGGAGAGGGCTGAAGTACAACTTAATGAGAGCGGTTGCCTCTAGATCTGCGCTTCCAGCAGAAGTTTACCGTGCACCTACTGTGAGTCCTGCAGGAGGCAGTGTGTGAATGAACCATGGTCTCTTCTCCCCATGCCCACTGTATTCATTTATTTGTTACTTTCCAACCGTTTCTGACTTTCCCAAATGATGCTGAGGCAGGGATGAACTGAGAGCCAGTGCCCCTGCATCACAGCGGTGGCAGATGACAGGATCCAGGCCATGTGACTAGAGCTGTCTTGACCTGCAGTGCTCAGTCACGGTCCCAGGAGGGAGCCGACTTGTACCCCAGCCTCCCCAAACACTCTAGCAGGAAGCAAGGCCTTTCCATGCTGGCTGCAGACAGGCAAGGCTATCCTTTCCGCCACATGGGCTCAGGAAAGAAAGTTTCAGATAAGTGATGTCTTTTCCTGCTGGATAGCAGCAGGGGAGGTCGCACCTAGGAAACCCCGCCAAGCCCTGGACAAGGAGAAGTTGGAGACTGGGGAGTAGATCTGACCAGAAAGAAAGGGCAGACCATGCAAAGCCACTGCCTGAGCATGCCTCGCACACATTCTGCTCTGATAATCACAACAACGGGTGTTCAACACTAACACGGAAGAGAGACAGGTTTGATTGGTTTTACATACCCACGTCACAGCCCATCCCTGAGGGCAGCCAGGGCAGGAACCTGGAGGTAAGAGCTCAAGCAGAGCCCACTGAGGGATGCTTCTTCCTGGCTGGGTCCCTCCACCTAGCACAGAGAGCTTTCTTATGCAGCTCATGCCCACCTGCCTAGGGATGGTGCCACCCACAGAGGACTGGGGCCTCCTAGCTCCATTAGCACTTAAGAAAACACTCCCATAGGCGTGGTCACAGGCCAGTCTGATCAAGACAATCTTTTCATTGACGTATCCTCTTCCCAGGTGACTCTAAGTTAGGGTCAGTGTGACAGCTGAGGTCAACCATGACACGTCCCATCCTCTTGCCCGTCACTAAGTGCCAACTCTTCGGTCTCTAGGTATGACACCTTTGGTCGCCTGACCAACGTGACCTTTCCAACTGGCCAGGTGAGCAGTTTCCGGAGCGACACAGACAGCTCCGTGCACGTGCAGGTAGAGACCTCCAGCAAGGATGATGTCACCATAACCACCAACCTGTCTGCCTCGGGTGCCTTCTACACCCTGTTGCAAGGTAAGTCATCCGGGGCCTGAGGCCTTTAAGACCCAGAGGTGAAGACCAAGACCAAGACTCCCTCTTGGTTTGTCTCCATTCTGCCTCCTCATTTGCCAAGCATGCCAGGCAGAGGCCTGGAAATCCTCTCCCAGAAACTTGGGGGAGGGGGCGATTGTCCATTGTCCTGTCCTATTATCTTCAGAACAAAGGGGAGAGAATCCTTTGGCCGCCTCCTCTGCTCTTGTAATGGCTCCCAGATTTTTCCCCTCACGCTAGTGCAAGGGAGGCAGAAGACACAAGTAATCACACCTAACTGTGGTGCGGAGAGATCCTCCCAGAAGCCCAGGAGAGGTCTGTGCCTCCGCCAGGACTCACTCTGAGGGAAAGAGACCCTTCCTTCCATGCATCCGTCAGACCGTCCCAAATATGGCTTGTGACGTCAGCTTCAGGTCAATGACAGTGAGGGAGTCTTGCTGTGAATTCCCTACCCTACCTAGACTGTTCCCAAAGGAAGTAGGGACCCCCACGCACTGAAACTTGGTTGGATTTAAGAAAATTCAGCGTCACTTAGGAAAGCTCCGACTGCCCTTCCCCTTCCTCCCCTGGCTCGATGCACTCCCAAAGCCTCGACTCAACATCCAATAGCAAAAGAAGCTTTGCACTGGGCATCTGAGATTCAGTTCTAGCTCCGTCTTTGCTACCTGAGTGCCACAGTGCTCACGTTTCTTCTTTGGGGAAAAAAAGGCATGGTGAATGGGTTCTGGATAGCGTGGAGTCCCTGAGTGAACCTGAGGCACCTGTGCCCGCTGCACAATGCGTGTTCCCGTTGCCATGAACTGGAGAGGGGTCAACTCTTCTTCCCCGAGCCTCAGTTTCTTAATCTTGGAAATGGAGCAGCATTATAAGATCTGCCTCACAGAGTTGCCTAGATACACGACAGACAGAATTTGTAAAGAGACCAGCATGGGCCAGGCACAGGGTACTGCTCAGAAGACACTTGCTGGATTAACTCAGTGATTAGCAAGCCGTTGGATTTACCACAAGGAGGCAAACGTTTCTGCTTTCATTACTGGTTTAGTTACCACACATAGTTTCTCCCTTTCAAAAAGCTGGATGAAAAATAGCAGCCATTAAAGAAAGAGAGATCATGCCCAGGAATTCCTTTCTTTTAGTGAGGAGTTGGAACACATCACAGGGTGTGTGCTATGGCAGAGTTATTGCCAAGAGAAGGTCCCAGACCCCATCCAGTAAGAACCCTGCCCGACCTAGGACAGCAAAGACAATGATTGTTAAGATGTGGGGCCTTCTGGCGAGTTTCTTCCCTCAAGAACTGTTACGTCTGCATACTTTACACTGCTATGTCTACTTTAATAAGATTTTTATGGCTAGGCAACTTTTTAAAATTCGAAAGTGCCACATTTCTCAGGTTAAAAAAGTCCCACCATTTAATCCTAGCTTTTCAGGTGGGGGTGAATCAAAATACAATGTCCAGCATACATGCCTAGAACCCCAACTCCAGAAACATCGGAACATGAAAAGCACACCCTAGAATACAGGGACGAGCAGTACCTATTTTCTGCCCGGCACCCCTGCAGGTTGCCCGTCTGTTCTGTGTCCCAGACTCAGATGCTCGGCCTGGCCGCCATCTCAGGAGCCTCTCCTTGTCAGAAATCTGTTTCACTCTCATCTCAGGTCTGAACTACGAGAAATAATGAGAAGGAGCTGCTAATGAGTGGCATCCTTGGGCCGGCACAGCCCACACTAACCAGGACCGCGTGTGGGCTGGACCTCCCCGCACGCTGGTCCATCCAGAGTCAACCGTAATGGACGCATGTGCATTCAGCGAGGAGACGCTTTACGAGATAAATTGACACAGGCTTTCCCACTCTTCAGATGGAAGCAAAATACAGATTGTCGGTGAACGATGCATAGCAACATTGAGGCCGACTGCAGAATCCCTGCAAGCGGTACCGCGTGGAAAGATGGAATGGGGAAGAGAGAAGGAAGGCCTGAGTGGATGTCACCTTAGCGGGGAGATTCAGCAAGGGCTTCCCATGAAAACTATCTTTTTAAAAAGACAGATTGATCTTGTTCCATGTGTATGGGCATTTTGCCTGCAGGTATAAAAGTGCAACACATTCGTGTCTGGTGCCCATGGAAGCCAAAAGAGGGGACCAGATAGGTCCCCTGGAACTGGAACTACAGACTGTTGTGAGCTGCTGTGTGGATGTTGGGAATTGAACCCAAGTCCTCTGCAAGAGCAGCAAATATCTTAACCAGAGATTCGTCTTGCTGTAATCCCCAGCACAATGTTTTTATGGTTTAACATAGCCTGGGACATACCTAATTTAATCCATTGAATACTCACCAAGCACATAGAATAACAATAAAGCTACCTATCATATTTTGAAGACTTCTCAGCTAAAAAAGATATATGACCGCTTATGTCAGACTTCTTTCACTTAGTGATAATTGATAATATATTTTCTTACAGTTTTATTAGTAGTTGGAAAAACTGAAACAAGCTGGGCAGTTAATCCCAGCACTCGGGAGGCAGAGGCAGGCGGATCTCTGTGAGTTCAAGGCCAGCCTGGTCTATAGAGTAAGTTCCAGGATGGGCTCCAAAGCCCATCACAGAGAAATCGGTCTCCAAAAACCAAAAAGAAAATAACAACAACAACAAAAAAAAAAGCAAGCTAAAACAAATTAAACGTCTATCTGGTATTATTAAATAAATTGTATTGCCATTTAATGGAAGACTGTAGTTATTATGAAAAATATTTATTAAAAATATTTAATGGCATGATATGAGGCATTGGATGATGGAAAACTCCACAGTAACCATTTGACTCTGTAAATGCATTAGGAAATATTGTAAATTCTACAGATATACAAAATATTTCCGATGGTTTTGAGTAGTGGGCTTATGCATAGTCTCCATATATCTTCCTAGTTTTTCTCAGTGGTGATGCATTGCTTCTATAGTTGCGGGGGGCACATTTTGACCCCCGTCCCAGCCTCTGTCTTCCCTCATCTTAAGCGTCTTTGCTCTCCTCTCCTTCAGACCAAGTCCGGAACAGCTACTACATCGGGGCTGATGGCTCCCTGCGGCTACTGCTAGCCAACGGCATGGAAGTGGCCCTGCAGACCGAGCCACACCTGCTGGCTGGCACCGTCAACCCCACTGTGGGCAAGAGGAACGTCACACTGCCCATCGACAATGGCCTCAACCTGGTGGAATGGCGGCAGCGCAAGGAGCAGGCTCGCGGGCAGGTCACAGTCTTCGGGCGCCGTCTGCGGGTGAGCATAATTTTGCAGGCACCAATCTGGTGGGTGGGGGGGGTGGGGTTCAGAGAAGCAAATTCCATTTTTAAGACTCTCCCCAAAACCTCAGTTTCCTCATCTGCCGTAGGGAGAGCTGAGACCATGAACCACATGTAACAAAGGACTGTGGGACATCCTTTTCGGTTTTGATGGGTTCGGGAACATGGCTGACTTTGTGGTTGAGCCTACACTGAGTTTCCAGCTTATTTTCTTCTGTGGACTGAACGTGGGCATGTCAGTCATCTTAGAGCTCCAGTGTCAGTCCCTGGGAGATAAAACCTATTTTACGTGCCATTCCAAGGACCAGAAGTGACATGCACAGTGTCTCACAGAGGGCTTGGCACAGCACACATCAGGGATCAGTAACTTCTGCAGCTTATGTCATTATTGCTAGGATGTTGTTACTGCCCACCCACCCCCCACCCCCCATTTCAAAATGTAAAGGGTTAAAGGGCAAAGAGCATCAATGCAGGGACTCAATAGCTGAGCACTTGTCTGCTGGGTCCTTAGCATGGGAACAAAGAAGAGACCAGGGCTAAGGGAGCCTGGGGCTTTGGGTCAGTGGTTGAGTGTTTACCCAGCAGATTGCGTAGCAAAGCACAGTACAAAGCAGAAGACAAGGGCTGTACAAAGGGACAGCTGGTGACCTGGACCTGGCTCTCTGCCCAGCACCTCGTTGAACACAGGTGCTCAGGAGACAGCTGCTGAGCCGCAGTGAACCACAGAAACATCCACACAGCAACACTGAACTCTCGATTCCAACAACCAAGAAAGCTAAGACCTTCCCATCTTCAACGTGGGGCAAAGTCCAGAAAACAAGTGACTGTTTCAGATTCATGTGATTAGGTGTTGTAGATCCTGGGAAAGAGACCCATGTCAGAAGCAGCAATGGTGGAGTGACTTATCCAATAGCAAAACCCAGAGCCACAAAAGCCAGGTTTCCTTTGCACCCTCAAGGGCTAGCTAGCTAATGTGGAAACCTGCCCCCTACTAGTTCCTGGCTGTCTTTGTTCCTGACACCATCTGTGGTCTCACTAAACACTCATCTGCTTTCTCAAGAGCCCTTCAATGCACCTCTGAGGCAGCGAGCCAAAGGGGAAGTTTGACCTAGGTTGGATTCCCGCTGGGCCTCTTGTGTAGCCTCCAGCAACTGCTCTGAGCCTAAACATCCTCAGCAGCCGTGGGACGCTGGTGCATTCAAGGTACCTAGCTAGCCCAGGGCTGCAGATCCCAGGTGCTCAGGAAAGGGCAGTGATTAGGGCTCTTAGGAGTGCCTCTCTACCATGTGAACAGGACCAGAAGTTTCCCAGGCTTTTAATTGGTCCCTCTCCCAGCCGGAGATAGATGATACTCTAGTCCGGTGGCCACGTCTCTGCTGCCTCCCAAAATAAATGGCCACCCACAGTGGCGGTGTGTGGAATGAGAATGTTAGCCGGGTGTACCTCTCCATAATGGGGCTCATTTTTTATACAGCTGGGAGGTTTTTTTTAATAAAGAAAGATGTAAAATAATCTCATTGCCGCCGCTGCCAAGCACAGGAAACACAAGGTGCTTCCCCCCATGAACTGTTCAACTCGGTTTTATTAATTTTGTCACAGAGGTACAGATCCCCTTCTCCACTAGCGTCCTCGGGTATGGGGGAGGCTGTCTAGGTGGCACCAACCCTGAGGGTATAAAAGAACCTCCCAAAACATGCTTTTTAAATGTGCCCATCGCTGTTGGCAGTGTGGCCCCCTCTTCTCGCGTACCCTCTCTGCAAAGAACACGGGATGAGCTTCCGGCGCCTCTGATTTTTCATGGGAATTGTCTGCCACACAGTTTTTGCTTCTGCAATTGTGTTTGATTACCCTAGGGAAGGCAAGCTTATTATAACCAGGCCATTCACAGCTACAGCCGTCTCCGCGGCATCATTATAAATCCTGATTTTCGGGGCCTTGACATTTGTACAGGGAGACTGGGGGAAGACACACACATATCTCTCCTTCCTCTAGGACTAACCATGGTCATGTGCTGTCATTTAGTGGAAATAATTATAGCCATTTATCCAGCGCCTTCTATGCACCTACTTGTCCACGGGTGCTTATTCATAGTCTAGAGTCTAGCGGGAGACTCAGAGAAGTAAAGGTACTTGGGCAAGGTCACACAGGAAAGCTGGTCTCCTCCTCGAGGTTGGAATTCCAACCTTAACCCTGACCCCTGCCTACACCCAAACCCTCTTCTAAATGCACAGATCCCAAAACGACCTTTGACTTCCTCAAGCCACTCATGCATTTTACATCGTGTGACCTAAAAACCTGAGCCCCTTAGGTCTTCCTGCTTGTCAGACTTACTAAACGACAAGTAGAAGAGACAGCAAAGGTGCCCCCTGTGCCCTGTTGGGCCAGCACCCCTCCCTAGCCCCACCAGTAAACATTAGCTTTGAAGAACCTGTGAACATTTGGGGACAGACATGGTGGTACCGTTTGTAATCCTGGCGCTGGGAAGGCAGAGAGGATAGGCCCCTGAGGTTCACTGGGCAGCCAGCCTAGCCTAAATAGAAAGTTCCAGGTTCCTGTGTATCCCAACTCGAACACACAAACACATACAGAGTTCCAACGTGCAGCTTCCTTTATGGAAGTCTATACTTCCGACTCACAAAGGAAGCTGAGCTAGCGGCAGCCTCACAGACCCCAGGGAGACTACGCTGGGGCTCCTGACCCTGGAGGCAAAAGCAAAGTCCTCTAACAGAGTTAGAACTAGTTCCGACTATAATGAACTATGAGGAGAAAAACACAGGAGGTGTGAATGCCCCTGCCTCCCAGCCACCTCTGAGGAGAAACAGATGCCTTGACTGTGGGCAAAAACAGGAGAGACCCAAATCATAGCAAGTAGAGGGCCCCAGGAATGCCAGGACTTGCTCAGAAAGCCTTCAAGTATCTACTGCACCAGCGAGAGTCAAGTCCACAGATCTGCAGCTTCCCTGCGCTCGGTGACCTCGGAATCCAACACAGCACAGCGTCTGGCTCATAGCAGACAGATCAGGTGTTGATTTGCTGGGCTCACTTGGCAGTTCCGATTTTAGGAGCTAAGAAGGATCTGACTTCCTCCTCCTCCCCTTCTTCTTCTTTTAAATAAGTTCCCATTAATGTATCACATGATAAGATCATGTGTCTTCTACAGCCACAGATGCTGTATGCTCATTACCCATGTTGTCTTTATTCCTACAAGAGGCCAAGAAGTACATTTTTTTTTCCTGTTGTGCAGATAAGGAAACCTCAAAGAGCTCACAGATGGCAGAGTGAGGTTTGATGCCCACAACCCCCGGTGCTGCCTTCTTTTCTCAGGAACTCGACACAGTTGTTGGCCCTCAGGGCCACATCGTCCATGCCCACACCCAGAGCCCCTCTCTTTCTTGTCCCTTTCCCAGGTTCACAACCGAAACCTCCTGTCTCTGGACTTTGACCGTGTCACACGCACAGAGAAGATCTACGATGACCACCGCAAGTTCACCCTCCGGATCCTGTACGACCAGGCAGGGAGGCCAAGCCTCTGGTCGCCTAGCAGCAGGCTGAATGGGGTTAATGTGACCTACTCCCCTGGGGGTCACATTGCCGGAATCCAAAGGGGCATCATGTCTGAGAGGATGGAATATGATCAGGCAGGGCGCATCACGTCCCGGATCTTTGCAGATGGGAAGATGTGGAGCTACACATACTTAGAGAAGGTGGGTGTCTGCCTCCCTTCTTCCATGGCCTTGCCACATAGAAGGCTGATCATTGTGGCTTTATTTTTTATGATGGTACCACTACGCTACCCAAGGTGTGCTTGAACTCCTGGGCTCCTCCACGGATCCTCCTGTCTTGGCCTGCTGAGCAACTGAAGGCATTCTCTAGGGCACCTGCTTTCCTCATTGCCTGTGTGCACATCTGCCTCTGTGCCAGCATCACCCCTTTTCTAGGTACCCCAGTTTACCAAGCCTTGCCTGATGACCTCAGAGGAATGAATCTGACTGTTGAGGTTTCCAAAAGGGGAGATGTGCATTTTCTAAGGGGAAAGGGGGTCCCAGGAGGAAAACGGGTTTAGTGCAGTGAGGAAAAGGTCCTAAGCCAGGAAAACACAGAAGTCGTGCTGATGGAGAACAGGAGGCCCGCCCACCATATTGGATGATAATGTAGGACCTTCCTAGAGTGGCTCACGAGGATGCTCACACAGGACCAGTTCCTGCTTCCAGAACCATCACACAGTGTGCAGCCTCATCCTGGATATCCAAGCCTGGAGGTCACCTCAGAGGCACAGCAAACTCAATCCCCTGCTGCTAATCCTGGGTGCGGGCCTAGCAGATCCCTTCCACTTTGGGTCAGGATTCACTTCCCCCAGAAACTAGGAATAAAAACATGACATAAATTCTACATGTGTTTGGGTAAATTTTTAAATTACCTAAATTCAGAAGTTGATCTCATATAGGGAAGAGGGAGTGGTAGGTTTTCCGTTTGGTTTATTTGGGGGAGGGGCTTGTTTTGTTTTATATTTGTCTTTCAAGACAGGGTTTCTCTGTGTAGCCCTGGTTTTCCTGGAACTCTGTCTATAAACCAGGCTGGATCTGCCTCCCGAGTGTTGGGATTGAAGGCATCTGCTGCCACCACCCAGCTGGTAGATTTGATAGTTAGACGTAGACTTGTTACCTTGTTACAAGCTCAGGGAAGCCTCAGAAGTTGCTTAGCAGGCAAAGGCTTTAAGACCATCAGGCTGTGTTGTAATGTTCCTTCTCCCTTGGATAGAAAGACTGAGGTCAAAAAGTCTGGGTCAGGGAAGGCAGTTACAAATACTGCAGGGCAGAGTATTGCGGTCTCGCACCCCATGGCATGCAGAAGTGATCTGATCCATACTGGACAAAAAACAGACTACTTGCTCACAAGAGGAAAGCAAATGGCCTGTGTGGACCCTGCAAGGCCAAAGGCTGAGCAAAAGCCCGGCCACAGTGCCTCTCTAACTGCTGGCAGCATCCCACGGTGCACATGCAAGAAGGCTCTGCCACTTTGCTCGCTCTCATTCCTTACCTCTATGTTGTGGGTACTTGGGTTGTCATTCCTTCCACCACCCCCTTCATCTCTGACTGTCTTCTCCCCCCAGTCCATGGTGCTTCACCTCCACAGCCAGAGGCAGTACATCTTCGAGTTTGACAAGAACGACCGCCTCTCTTCCGTGACCATGCCCAACGTAGCCAGGCAGACGCTGGAAACCATCCGCTCGGTGGGCTACTACAGAAACATCTACCAGCCCCCGGAAGGCAACGCCTCCGTCATTCAGGACTTCACCGAGGACGGGCACCTACTGCACACCTTCTACCTGGGCACTGGCCGCAGGGTGGTCTACAAGTACGGCAAGCTGTCGAAGCTGGCCGAGACTCTGTATGACACCACCAAGGTGAGCTTCACCTACGACGAAACGGCGGGCATGCTGAAGACCGTCAACCTCCAGAGCGAGGGCTTTACCTGCACGATCCGCTACCGTCAGATCGGGCCCCTCATCGACCGCCAGATCTTCCGGTTCACAGAGGAAGGCATGGTCAACGCCCGTTTCGATTACAACTACGACAACAGCTTCCGCGTGACCAGCATGCAGGCTGTGATCAACGAGACCCCACTGCCCATCGATCTGTACCGCTATGATGATGTGTCAGGGAAGACGGAACAGTTTGGGAAGTTCGGTGTCATCTACTACGACATCAACCAGATCATCACCACAGCCGTCATGACCCACACCAAGCATTTCGACGCTTACGGCAGGATGAAGGAAGTACAGTACGAGATCTTCCGGTCCCTCATGTACTGGATGACCGTCCAGTACGACAACATGGGGCGGGTAGTGAAGAAGGAGCTGAAGGTGGGACCCTACGCCAACACCACCCGTTACTCGTACGAGTACGATGCCGACGGCCAGCTGCAGACAGTCTCCATCAACGACAAGCCTCTCTGGCGCTACAGCTATGACCTCAATGGGAACCTGCACCTGCTGAGCCCCGGGAACAGCGCCCGGCTCACGCCACTACGGTACGACCTCCGTGACCGTATCACGAGGCTGGGTGATGTGCAGTACAAGGTGGATGAGGACGGCTTCCTGAGGCAGCGGGGTGGGGATGTCTTCGAATACAATTCGGCGGGCCTGCTCATCAAAGCCTACAACCGGGCCGGTGGCTGGAGTGTCAGGTACCGCTACGACGGCCTGGGGCGGCGCGTGTCCAGCAAGAGCAGCCACAGTCATCACCTGCAGTTCTTCTACGCGGACCTGACCAACCCCACCAAGGTCACCCACCTCTACAACCACTCCAGCTCCGAGATCACATCCCTCTACTACGACCTGCAAGGACACCTCTTCGCCATGGAGCTGAGCAGCGGCGACGAGTTTTACATCGCCTGCGACAACATCGGGACCCCTCTCGCGGTCTTCAGTGGAACCGGCCTGATGATAAAGCAGATCCTCTACACAGCCTACGGGGAGATCTACATGGACACAAACCCCAACTTCCAGATCATCATCGGCTACCACGGCGGCCTCTACGACCCACTCACCAAGCTCGTCCACATGGGCCGGCGCGATTACGATGTGCTGGCCGGACGCTGGACGAGCCCAGACCATGACCTCTGGAAACGCCTGAGTAGCAGCAGCATTGTGCCTTTTCACCTCTACATGTTCAAGAACAACAACCCCATCAGCAACTCTCAGGACATCAAGTGCTTCATGACAGGTGAGGGCTGGGGTACCCCCAGGTCAGGACCTACCCCGTTGCTCTGGTAAAGAGCAGGTGTGGGGTGGCGGGAGACACTGACTGCTTCTAGTGGCATTGGTCCCCAAAGTCTATTTAAAGAAACACTAGTTTGGAAACTACTTTGGAAATAATGGATCCAGCATCAAACAGAGTTGACAGGACCACATTCTTAACTTTTCCTAATATACTTCGGTTTGTGGAGGTTATGAGGTTCTGTAGTGAGAAGAGCTCTTTAGTATACCTACCTATAACTTTTCTAAATTGTTTTACCAAAAAACCCCAATGTCTCAGCCAAGCGGTGGTGGCACACACCTTAACCCCAACACTCAGCTATAGTCTAGTAAGGTCATGTGACCTTACTGGGTCATGTGACAATGGAGCGCTTTGGGGTTGAGGACAGAATGAGCTGATTGGCTCGTCCTGGATCACATGGTCCACTGCTCCATCAGTGCCTGCTCCCCTCTCCCTCCCAACAAAGAAAGAAGGTAGAGCTAGGTCTTGGGGAGGCAACCCTAAAATGCCCACCACAGGTGTATCTCACAGGTCATCAGGACAAGTCTTTCCCAAAACCCCTGGAGTGAGGAAGTTAAGGACAGGCAAATTAACCCTCCCCTCCCGCAAAGACCCAAACTTGTGGGGAGGCCAGCCTTGGAACTCTGTGGGTCAGCCTTCAAATGCTTAGCCTTCTTTGAACTCAAGTACATTCTGTGAAGCACGAAAGTCACACCCACGTGAAAGGGATTCAGATCACTTGCATTTTATCCCTCCCTCCTGGCAGCAGTGACTTCTGGGACTGACAGGTAAAGCAGAGCATTTCAATGGAAAGGAGACGCCTGCCCCTCAGGTCGTCAGAGTGCAATTCCCAGTGCTTCAGAAAAGCCTGGTGGGAAAGCTAGCGAATAAATAGATCTCCGACGTTTTCCTGAAAGGCGTGAGAGCAAGCTTCCCATCTTCCATCACTCCTAATTAAAGCCCAGCCCTCTCCTGCATCCCCTGCTTCCCTGGGAATGTGCGCTATTCTGGATAGAAGAGTCCCTCGCAACCACAAATCCCAACGCAGTCTCAGCCTAGAGCAAGACGGCTTTGTGAGATGTTCTTTCCCCATGTTCTGCTAGTTTTAATTTCCCGAAGATCCATCTGCTGAGACTCATAGAATGAGAGACTTCTGGAATCTCAATGAGGAAAGGGCCATAGAGAAGTCATCCAAGCCCCCTGTTGCAAATAAGAAAATGGGGGTCTTGGGATAGACAAAGGCAGAAAGCCCTCTGTGAGGGAGTACCTGATCTGGAGACTGTGGATTAAACCCAACATTTTAGGCTCCTGCTATACAACAGCTACCTTCAAGTGATATCCTTATCTTCTACTAAGACTTAGTAAAAACCATTCTTGCTTCAGTATGCAGACCCAGGAGAAGTCTCTGAGAAGTAAAGTAAGCTCTCCAAGTTCATTGTTTGTACACTAAGAAACCCTTCTGTGACCTGCATAGCAAGGATAAAGGGGGAACTTAAACCTGGGTTTAATGGGCCTGGGAAAACAGAAAACAACAGAAAAGGCAAAAACAGATGTGAGGTGCTTAGGCAGGAGAGAAACACGGGTTGCTACAAAGTTGCAAAAACACACTTGCCTGTTGACCCCCACAGGTCACTCCCACTCAGCAGCTGCGGTGGGTGGGGACTATCACTTCCTCCTTGGCAGGCTCATCCCTGGACCTCTCAACAGAGATATGTCTCCACTGGAAAGAAAACAAAAGAACCCGGCTCTGGAGCTGGCCACAAAACCCTGTCCACCTCTCCCCCTGTCAGTTTGGATTCTGAGTCCCTCCGATGAGAGCTTTAGCGTCTTCAGCTGCCCCCTCCGGAAGAAGGCTGAGCTGCATTGCAACACAGACTACCTCCAGCAAGGCTCAGATAACCTCCCTCCGGCCACCCCAGGCTCTGTCGTTTCTAGTCCTTCCTCAGCATTTATGAAGTCCTCTCTGCTTCGTCCTCACTGCCCCCTCTCAGGCACCTCTCCTTGTGTGGCCATCTTTGCCTGGAGTACAACCTCCACCTCCAAGGATGCCAGACAAGCCATGGTTTTCTCGTTAGGCTTCAATGACATGCCTTCATCATGTCTGATTTTAATCATATTTAAGAGATCTATGGGCCCAGTCCTCATCTCCCTTTGGGGTCATAAGTGTTCAAGGGGAGGTTCTATGATGACATAGCATCTGCCAGCACCGTGGGCCTTCTGCCGCATGATAGCCTGCCTCGACCCCTATCTAAGGTCATGCATGGCTTTTGCAGTTCTTTATTTGGTTGGTTAGTTGGATGGATTTTTGTTTTCATCCTTGGTTTTGCTTTGCTTTATTTTTAAATAGATCTCATGTAGCCCAGGCTAGCCACAAACTCACTATGTAGCCAAGGATGGCCTTCAACTTCTGTTCTTCCCGCCTCTGCCTCTTGGGCGCAGGAAAGACGGACACCAGTTTATGTAGTGCTGGAGACTGAACCCAGGACTTCATGCAGGCTAGGCGAGCACTCTACCAGCTGAAGTATACCCCAACCTGGGATCACAGGTTTCTGAGTCCATGCTTCAGTGAGCCTAATGCTCACCGAAATACCTTATCAATAACTCTCAACTCCAAGGAATATGATTAACCATCTTAGAGAATAGCAGGCTGAGGCCCTGGGAGGTTGAGAGACTTCCTAGTGCTGTCAGAAATAAGACAGGTAGCCCGCAGGAGAGCTCTTTGATCCTCTCACTAACCAACCTCATGCCTGCAGGCATGATGGCCCCCAGGTTCTAATGGCTACAAAGAGGGTGGATAGAGAAGGGGCAGCTTTTTTCACACACGAATGTTTCCACTTTGCAAGTCAGCCATGAAAATCCTTTCTCTGTCTCACTGACCTTTGCACGGGTTTCCTATTGACGCTGGGGGTGAGGATGGGCCAGGGAGAGAGTCATCCGTCCGCAGCTACCTCTGGGTGAGCAGATGAGCGTGAGAGAGGGAAAGAGCTACCTGGAGTGTGGGTTCTGCCTAGGTTTCCTCTCTCCTGGATCTACCTGTCGGAGGACAATTATGGGCACAAGCCTGGGAAAGGGATGGCTGGGGGGGAGGGGGACCAGCCGTACATTTGCTTTTACGACTAGGACATCATTTTCCAGTGTGTGTGGCAGTCAGCTCTGTAACCAGTCACTTCCCACTCACGCTCGCTCACGAGGCATATTTCTGCTTCTCTCCACCCAGATGTCAACAGCTGGCTGCTCACCTTTGGATTCCAGCTACACAACGTGATACCTGGCTATCCCAAACCAGACACCGATGCCATGGAGCCGTCCTACGAGCTCGTGCACACACAGATGAAAACTCAGGAATGGGACAACAGCAAGGTAACGCCCCACATGACAGCCACACCTCAGGCCATTCCGGGCAGGATGGAAACTGAGGTAGCACCTTCATGGTTCCTGCCGGACAGCTTTCAGAAAACAGCAAATCCGTGGCTAAGCAGGCCCCAGGGACCCAGCTGTAGCAGCTCATGGACACCACAGGCTGCATAAAGGGAGTTTTGTGTGAGCCACCAAGTTCAGAGTGCCGTAAAAAATAATAAGCCTTTGTCCACCGTGCAGGAAGAAGCGCTAGCCAAGAGGGCTGAATGCAGATGTGGTGTTTTCTAAGCACCTGCTGCACCTGCACTGAGTGATGCTCTACTTAAGCTAGCTCACAAATGCACCATGCTGTTATTCTCCTCATTGTCCAGGTTTAATGCATGAGACGATTCAAACCCAGATTTGTCCACTTTGGGTCACCTGTCTGACATGACTAGGCTCTAGGAGAGAAAGAGAAAAAAAAATCTTCCTTTTATGACCAGATTTCAAAGGCTTGGGATTATAAGGCTGGGAAGACCTTTTACAACAGTCCCATCTCGCCTGCTTCTCACTTCATGCATTGCTTGTCCCAAACTCGTCCTCCGTTCATAAATCCTGTACCAGGAACAGAGTCTGTGCCTGGCTCTGTACTGCAACCCATGGAATGCAGGGGTAGATCAGTAGGTAGGCCAAGTCTTCTAGGGGATGCGAGTCCAGGGACAGAAAACTCTGGGGAGAAGCAGCAATACCACAGAGCATGGTCCTGGGCTTGGAAAATTTCCTGGTCTCCCCTCCAACCCCTCCCCTTTTCCTCTGTCTCCTGCTTCCCCTACCTTGGCACACATGGGGTGTGTGTGTGTGTGTGTGTGTGTGTGTATACATACAGTCACCTTTTGGACAGAAATATTGTGTTTTTGTGTGTCCCTTGCTGAATCTGAAGCTCACAGATTCAGACAAGCTGACCAAAAGAACCATGATCTCCCTCTCTCTGTCCCGAGTGTCGGGGCTACAGATGTATGTCCGCCTCCATCCTCAGCTCTCTACCGAGGTCCTCATGCATGTGGGGTCAGCTCTGCTAACTGAGCCAGCCCACCAGTACCATGTTCCTGTTTCTTGTTCTAGACTAATTCTTTTAGGCTCATCTTAGTTGCCGCCTCCCAATCCTGTGGATGAGTCTGATCAAGTGGTTTGCTCTGTCCAACTTTCCGTTTCTTTCTTACTCCTTTTCTAGATGATGAAACACAGCAGGTTAAGTTACACGTCTCAATTAGTGCCCAGCATACAGGCTAGCACACTGTCGGTGCTTCTGTGGTACCATAACTGACCCATGGAAAGAGCCCATTTTATAAATAAGGAGGCTAGGCTCAGAGAAAGCTTACCCAAGGATGTTCAGCTGGGGAATGACAGAAGATAACATGAACCTGTGTCTGTCTGTCTGGCCATAGAGCCCCTCCTCTTTCTGTGCTAGCCTGTACCAGACCTTACTACCCCAGCCCCTGCGTGCAGATGTCCCAGCATCTGCTGTCCCCAAGGCTGATTCCAGCCACACAGCGCTTCCTCCCCCACCAGGTTCCTTCTGTGCTCCCCAGAGTCCCTGTCTGACTGCCTGTTTGCCAACCTTGCCTGTCAATGAATTATTGATTTCTGCCCTTGGCAAGCATTGAAGATCTTTGTTGTTGAGCACTCTGGCTTTTGTGAAACTCTAGGAAATAATTGTTCACAGACAGGGTTCAATTAATTATAAAGAGGACTTAATTTCAACGGGAGGCTGATGGGGCTGTTTCAAAAGCCTGTGCCCTGAGTTGCTGATAAAGCCCTGAAGCCCTGAGCACAGTTTCACTGAGCTCCTTAAGATGGTACCCCAGGTCAACAGGGTCCAACCTGACCCCACATAGCCACATGCAGAGATACTTGAGGAGGCACTATGGGACAGAGACTGTCCCTCAAATATTTGGACAATGCAGGTGCAGAGCAATAGAACAAAGTGAGAGGCCTGAGACAATTTCTGGTTGTCCTAACATCGTGTCTTTCTTACTATCCCTCCGCTAACATCACCCTCCACGTTCTTTAAGTCCTAACTCGGGCTTGGCCCTCCCCTTGGAACCCTCCCTTCTCCCTCTCTTCTCCATCATTAGCTTGAGCATCTTCTGAGCCTTGATTGCTTCTCACTGCAGCTGCCCTTGACTCCCCTACTCTGTCTCAAAAAAAAAGTGACCTTGAAACAATAAGAGTATCTACTAGAGGGCTCAAGCAGGGTGTTGAGTGGTAAACTTGAGCTTGAAGATCAAGAACTATTACTGTATCTATTAGCTATTATGTCTTCTAAATCACCAGTCATTCATTACATGTGGTCGCAACATTGTTGTCATGTCCATCTGTGTCCATGAAACAGTGAGTTCTCTGAGGGCAACAGTGACGTCCAGTTCATTTTGTATCTTCATTGCTCAGAAAGGGACCTGGCCAGAGCAGCTTCTTCGGAACTGGCCCAGAATAGAAGGGTGTGGGAATGAATGGATGAAGGATGGCTGGGTATTCTGATGGTCAGCACCATCAAGACAGATGCGACAAACTACCTGGAGGTTCCATATAACCGTTTGCCCTGATTCTTGGTGCTCTCAGGAGTTTGATTTTCCTCTTATCTTATTCTCTTCCTCTCTCTTTTTCATGACCCTGCCCCATCAGTCTATCCTTGGGGTACAATGTGAAGTCCAGAAGCAACTCAAGGCCTTCGTTACCTTAGAACGCTTTGACCAGCTTTATGGCTCCACCATCACCAGCTGCCAGCAGGCCCCAGAGACAAAGAAGTTTGCCTCCAATGGTTCCATCTTTGGCAAGGGGGTCAAGTTTGCCTTGAAAGATGGCCGCGTAACCACAGACATCATCAGCGTGGCCAATGAGGACGGGCGGAGGATTGCGGCCATCTTGAACAATGCCCACTATCTAGAGAACCTTCACTTCACCATTGACGGGGTGGACACCCACTACTTTGTGAAACCAGGACCTTCGGAAGGCGACCTGGCCATCCTGGGCCTCAGTGGGGGGCGGCGAACTCTGGAGAACGGGGTCAACGTCACGGTGTCCCAGATCAACACCATGCTCAGTGGCAGGACTAGACGCTACACTGACATCCAGCTGCAATACAGGGCACTGTGCCTGAACACCCGCTACGGGACAACCGTGGATGAGGAGAAGGCGCGGGTGCTGGAGCTGGCCAGGCAGAGAGCTGTACGCCAGGCTTGGGCCCGGGAGCAGCAAAGACTGCGGGAAGGAGAGGAAGGCCTGCGGGCCTGGACAGAGGGGGAGAGGCAGCAGGTGCTGAACACAGGGCGGGTGCAGGGCTATGACGGCTTCTTTGTCACCTCCGTCGAGCAGTACCCAGAACTGTCGGACAGCGCCAACAATATCCACTTCATGAGACAGAGCGAGATGGGCCGAAGGTGACAGAGAGGGCCAAGGCCCGGACTTCTTGCCAAAGACAGCTATCCTTCTGTGTCCGTATACCTGACTGTGTTGTACTTAACAAAAAAAAAAACAAAAACTTTTTTTTAACAAGTGCAGAAAACAAAACAGAAAGATAATGGTTGCATTGTTAATTCATGCAACTTTTTTTTTTAAAGAAAAACACAAATTTGGCCTTCACACATTTTTTTTTTTTTGCAAAGAATGGAAGTTATTTTTCCTGTAGTGTGACCACAATGATGACTTGATTGTCTTTTGTTCCCCTTTTCCCTGAGGAATTTTCCCTGTTGTTTGGGGTACATTTCTCCTCTCTTTGGGGTACACATCGCCTTGGGTGTGTCCTCACCCATCCCTAGGTACCCAGTGTGATGTGAGACACGAGTGTCTGTGCTAACTTGTCTCATGTGTAACCCTTTCTTCTTTGACTGGAGTTGGGTGGAAGTGAGGGGTGCAGAGAGGAACGGGCTTGTGGGACCTCAGGAACTTTGGTTAGGCTCCCACAGAAAGTGGTGAGCTTCTCTCCACCATGCTTTGTATCTCCTGAGGGCCCACATCATGCTCTGGGAAGGTCCATGGTGTCGTTCAGCCAGCACCTCGCCAGGCCACCCCAGACTCCCGCCCCAGCATTGTATTTTGATGCTAAATGAACACCCCCACTCTCCCTTTTGCAAGTCTCTAGTGTAGCTGTCAGTGCCACCCCCACCCCCATAACAAAACAGAGAAGGTGTCTCCTAGGTTCTCTCCCCAGTCTGGTGATATAACATCCTGGGGCTGCGAGCCCCATCCTTCCCAAGAGACGAGAGCACCAGGATGTCGGTGAGTGGTTGACCTTCCACGATGCCCCTCGCTCATCTTCCTCCTCTCTCCCAAAGTCAGACTTAAGAACCAGCACCGCGCAGCAAGCCCTCAAAGTCCAGGGAAGGCAAGGAAGCCCTGTCCCTTCCAGTGCTCAGCTGCTGCCACTGAGAATCAGGAGTGTGGCAAGAGATGCCCGGTGGCCTTTGATCCTGGAAAGATGCATAGGAAATGCAAAGTCAGCCAAAGAAAGGAGTCAGCAAAGGCATGAGCCAGGGATCCTTCTAGCTGGCTCCTGGCCTCTTTTCTGCCTCCCCTCTACGGTCTATTCCCAGAGGCTCCAGAGTCCCAGAGCCTGGATTTCAGGAAACCCCTTCTGCAGAGTTTCTTCACTAGAGAACCCCAACCAGGATTGGTTTTGGTTTGGGTTTTAAATAAGAGGAAAGAGATTGTTTGGTATGGCTTGTCGGTGTCCTGCAGCCCCACTGGGATCAGGGATGGTGGGGCCAAAGGCTGGTGCCCGCGGATCCCAAAGGCCAGGCTAGCATTGTTCCCGTGGAGACCTCTGCACATAGCTAGCACATGTCATCTTGAAGAGGCTAGGCACAGGCACAGCCAGTGTTGAGGGGCTGCCCAGAGGGAGGCAGCAGCCAGCAGGCCAGGGGAGGTATGAGCTCACTGGAGAATTCCTTTTGTGGTCTGTCTGCCTGGATCCCATGGTCATTAGCACTCACAGGAGGCTCTGGGAGATGGGGGCAGGGGAGTGGGGAGCCAAATGCTTCCTTTTGAGCTGGGCTTCTTAGAAAATGGGACTTTTATGGGTTACATTTACATTAAGTGTGGAAAATGAATTCTGAGTCTAAGCTATTCCCCATGGAAACCTTGTTGGACTGATAAGCTCATGGCACCTTTATAGCCTTATGGAGTCTTCAGAAACATGACATGAGTTAATGAAACCGAGAAGGTCTCTTACTGCATGAGAATCGGAGCCATGTGGAGTCTGGGTTCTGCCTGGCAGAGGGAGGCACCCAAAGCTTCTCCAGGAGGGGAGATCTCGCCTTACCTTGTCCCACTGGGATTAGAGGATGTGTTTCGCTAAGTGCTCTTCCTGATTCAAAAAAAAAATGCCACGCTGCTGCCACAGTGTGTCCCGGCCCGCCCTGTCCATTGGTGACCACAGTATGTCATGGCCTGCCCTGTCCACTGGTCACCACAGTGTGTCCCGGCCCGCCCTGTCCACTGATCACCACAGTATGTCATGGCCTGCCCTGTCCACTGGTCACCACAGTGTGTCCCGGCCTGCCCTGTCCATTGGTGACCACAGTATGTCATGGCCTGCCCTGTCCACTGGTCACCACAGTGTGTCCCGGCCCGCCCTGTCCATTGGTGACCACAGTATGTCATGGCCTGCCCTGTCCACTGGTCACCACAGTGTGTCCCGGCCCGCCCTGTCCATTGGTGACCACAGTATGTCATGGCCTGCCCTGTCCACTGGTCACCACAGTGTGTCCCGGCCTGCCCTGTCCATTGGTGACCACAGTATGTCTTGGCCTGCCCTGTCCACTGGTCACCACAGTGTGTCCCGGCCCGCCCTGTCCACTGGTCACCACAGTGTGTCACAGCCCTCTTCGTCCACTGGTTGTTCATTACCTCTGGATGAGAGCTCTGCCAGGTTAGATCCGATGCTCCCTCAGGTCCACTGTACCCAGCGTGAGCTGCTAATGGGGACTGGTATGATTGTTCTTGGATGGGATAGAAAATAGTTTGACCTGAAAAACCACAATTCTTTTCGTATCCAAAAGACTTAACGCCTCTCAAAATGTACTTTTGCTGTAAGGATCCTTTGGGCAGAGTTGCCCTGTGAGTTGGCCTAGTTGATCTATCCCAGACTGGCTGCCTGACATTGGCTAAGATCTGCTGGGGACATTTACTTGTAAGCCAGAGACAGCATGTGACCCAAGGGAACCATCTCCTTGTACCTATCCAGCCTGTCTTCCTCCCCCACTGCCTTCCTCCCTCAAAGAAGAGCAGTAAACAAGATGAATCACTGGGGGTCCTTTTTAAAAACAAAACAAAACAAAGGAATGACCCAGTATTCTTCCTGGGTTCCATCCCAGAAAGAGTACCTAGCTTCTACAAGGGAAACAAGCATCCTGAGCTACAAAGGAATTAATTCAGCAGCAGGCTTGACAAACACACGCCTCTACTTTATGCTGGGCACTCTGGCCTGGGCCCCTTTAGGTTGGATTCCACCTCCCAGGTGTGTTTGGAGGCCTATGCCACAGCTCCTTTCGCCTATGTCGGAGGTTCTGAGTATTAAATGTCTTCCTAGACAGCACCTGTCTTTTGGGCACCAACTACATCTGTCTACTTGATAGAGTGACCAGGTCTTCCTCTCTGGTTCACACTTGCGATTCTAAAGGGTGGTAGCTTCTGAACCTCTAAGATCTGTTTCAAGTAGTCCGTGCCTCCTCTACCCTCCATAGCTACCAACCTCAGTCCCTCCTCCATGACCTTAACCAAGACTTTCTCAATCCCCAATTTTGTCTTCTATACCCCAAGATCCACCCCCCCTTACAACCATCTCCCATACAAGCATCACTGGAGGGTACAGGGGCAATATTGACTCCGTGGTAAACCACACCTTAGCCTCTGACACTGGGCTCAAAATCGCTGGTGGAGAATTAGCCCAAGGTCCACGCTGGTGCCTGACTCTCCTGAGGGATACGAGGTCTGACAGACACCCTAGGAAGCTAGTGGAGATGGAGACTGGACAAGTGCCTGCAGATAACAGAGAGGGCACTGGGCGGGGCTTGGATGACGGAGAAGCCTAAGAGAGCTGAGTTACCTGGGCAGGGCTTTCTAGGCACAGAGCAAGGGAAGAAGAAGGAGCCTTTCAGCTGTGACTTCTCAGCTGCTGCCTTTCCAGGCAAGGTTTGCAATGTGACATCTTAGAATACCAGTAGCTTTGCCATTTGCAGCCCTGGCATTTCTGGTGGCCTCTTGGTGAGAGCAGTGACACCAGGTTTTGTACCCGGGAAGATGAGCTTGCTGGATTTCAGCAGGTTGCTAGGCTTTGGGACTCGATCACCCATCACACAAAGATGAGAATTCTCTTCATCCTTCACAGCGACCACCCAGCCTAAGAGGTGGCTCCCGATCCTGGGGATGGGAGGTCCCTGAAAGACCCAGCATCTCCTTTCTCCTGGGATCCTCATCAGGACTAAAAGCCCTCCATGTGAGGCATGTCATCCCCAGCTAGGTCCAAACCATTGTCTCTATTTTGTGAGAGGTGAAGGATGTGGGGGGGGGGGGGGGGAAGCACTCTGCCGTGCAAGGCCTTTTTATTTAGCCTTCCCAGAACAGCAAACTCATTTTAAAGACTCATTGCTCAGGTGACAGAGAGAAACTTTAACCTCTCCAACCTTTTCATTCTCAAAAACCAGCCTTGTGTACTTGACTGCCCTGAACAGTGGTGCGCTCTGAGATGTCTCGGTGTTGTGGAAGATCCAAGGCAGGAAGGCTTAAGATGGGGAACCTCGTGTTCCATTTGGGAGGCCCTGGCGGGGCCCTGTGTTGTGTTTCTTACCCTCTGGGGAATGCCAAAGGCACAAGACTGGGCTACTTCCTGGTCCCTAAGAAAAATGTGATTGATCCTAAGGGCAGACATTTGAGGGATAACTGCCCATGGGCAGGCTCGGCTGTCCCAGCAGAAACAGACCCGCAGATGTCTGGGGGTCCCCGGCAGCTCTGATCCACTCACCACCAGAACCCCACTGTTCTAAACGTGCCCGTTGTTCCGAGGACCTCTGAACCCGCAGCTCTGGCAAGCTGCCTCTGGATGACTGACACTGGAGACTCTGGCCTTACCATGTGGAAATGTTTTCCTGAGATCTGGAACTAATTTTGAGAAGTTTTTTTTCTCAACACTTTTGTGTTTCTAACACTGTATTCTTGACTGTGTAAATACCAACAAGGCTGTAAATAAATGCAGATGTAGATACCTTCTAGAAAAAGGGGGGGAAAGCATAAAAAAAGAAAACCAGAAGTGATCCCGTGTAGCCTTCGTTGACAAATAAAAGACTATTTTGTGTTTAAAGGTGTGCGGTGGCCTTTGTTGGGAGACGGTGGCGGTTACCGGGAGGGCTGGACAACCCCACCATAATTCTGGAGTCCCTAGCAGGTCCTGCCTGCCATGGTCAGAGATTTCCAGAGGGGCACAGAAAGTCCGAGGTGACTTTACTGAAAGATGAGGTTACTACAGAAACCCCTCACCTCAGGTAGAGCCCATTCGCCACCCAGGCCGTGTCCTGTCCTGGTTTCCACATTCAGTGGTTTCAAAGACACCTGGCCCTGTTCACCACCAGACACAGGACCTGCCATGTGGACACTGCACCCTACAAATGAACAGGTGCATGTTCAGCTGAGACATGATTATCATCATTTAGTGCAACTTAGAAAGGTGAAAACTCCTTTAACCATGAGTGTGTTTCCCCTGCGGTCATCTTTGCAATCTCGCGGAGTTCCCATGGCGGTTCATGGGTCCTTCTGCCATTCACCCTCACAGTTAAACTGTGTGCAGGGATGAGAGTCAGGGATGAAAGCGGGTTGGGAAGAAGAGGTTATCTAGTAAGCCCTGCTCCCTGGCGTACATGGCAAACCTTATGAAAATTCGAACCACTATCCTTCTAGGCCAGAAATGTCACACCACTCCCGCTGGCCTCAGGGTTTGTCCACGCCAAGGACTCGGGAAACGAAGCATCAAGCTGGAGGCCCCTTTCTTCCTCCCACCCAGGCCGGATGGGAACTGCACCGCAGAGGGGCAGGCGACATCCATGGTGAAGACCCTCCACTGTGAGTCAGATGGGTGTAAAGGGGGGCCCCTGGCGGCGGGAGCTGGTCTTCAGTGGGTCATTTAATCACTCTGAGCCCCAGATCTTACATCTACATGAGAGGCGGTGACACAGACCTCTTGGTACTTGGTAGTTCTTGTATTGCTTAAAGAAAAGGTCGTGCAAAGTAGCACACTGCTCAGAACGCCAGGAGCCCCCTCTCCCCAGCCAGCCCAGCCAACCCAGCGCCCCACCTTAGCTACTGTCCGAAGCTTAGCACTCTTCACACTATACGGATGCTTCTCAAACTTGGTCTTGCAGTTTATGAAAATATAGCCCCTCTCGCCTTCCCCTGAATTACTGAGTAAGCAGGCCTGGGGTGCAGCCCCAGGCTGTGCAGTTCCAGCAGGTTCCCAGGTGTTGCTGCTTTGAGAACGGTGGCTACGCTACCCTTGAAGCATAGTACACAACAGGGTGCTTAACACATGTAGCGCTTCAAATGCCCCAAGTGGGGCAGCCTCACTCTGCCCTCTGGGCCACTCTCCCTTCATGTGTGACACCACAGGCTGGCCTGAGAACTCGGACCACCCGGCCAAGGCCCCAGACTATCACACCTGTCAGGCTTCCACGCTCAGGCTTCACATCCAGCTGAAGACCATTCTGTAAATCCTTCTGAAGCTCATCCCTCTCTCAGAAGTTTCTCCCAGGACATCCCGTTAGCCTGACTTCAGAGGTTCAAGATGGGGTTGCATTTAGGAAAAATCTTCCCCCAGGGTCAATCAAGACTAAGTCTCTTCTTCTGAGAATCTTCAGTGCCCCAAACAGGAATTCGGCTCCCCACCTATCTAAGGTCAGCCTCTCTTTTCTCAGCTGCCCTGGAGAGCCACCCACTTCTGGTCTCTGTACCCTTAAGAGGAAATGTCTAGGGCCGCTCACGAAGACTCTGTGGTGTTGACTGTTGAAATGAACGCACAGCCTCCATTCCTTTCTCCAGAGAGGCTAGTAGAGTCCTGTGTCCTGACAAATGTCCATCGGTTAGCAATGCGTGCAGCCAGGGGAGCAGGACAGACTACCTTCAGTTAGCAGTGGACAGGACCCCATCTGGTTTCACTCACCCGTTTTCCCCAGCATCGGGCACAGGAGATGTGCATAGATATCAGTTAGATATCAGTGTGCACAACTCTGATTTTGTACGGCCTTCCCTGGGTCTCTGGACTTCTCCCCTCCATGACTTAACTGACCCTATTGTGCCCCAAAAGCACACAGGAGCTAATCCCCACTGAGCAAGTGCCACTCAACTCTTAGGCCCAAGGTCTGCCCCAGGGTCCCTGACTTCTGGGGACAAACAGTATGTCTTAATGGGGAGGTCTCAGTAGACAGAGTGGGTATTGCCTCAAGACCAGGAGCTGCCTACACTCATCTTTCCTGAACCCACAACCATCGATGATAGGTGGTGCTGCAGATGAGCTCATGTTGCTGGAGCTTCACGATTTGTGTTTAGTGGTAGAATCAGAACGTGAATCTGGGATCGCCTAAGACCACATTCTAAACTACTTATCTTAGTACTAAGGTTAGGGAACCAAGAGATTTCCTAAGTGAAGGGCTTCAAACACTGAAGACACCGGGAGCTGGACCTCTCAGGTCCCCATCAGCAGATACAGGCTTGCCTGAGATTATACTGCATTCCTCTGCCTGGAGCCAGCCACAGGGACAGGGCCAGTGCAACCCTGCAGAGAACTCCGAGCTTAGAAGGGCCCCACTCTTAGCTCAGTGTTCTTCTGGCTCTGTCTTGAATTCTTTTTCCTTTTTCTCTTTTTTAAGGGAGGGTACCCTTTTTCTCATCTTATGTTGGGTTATCCAAGTCACGTGACCAGGCGTGTCTGTATTGCTTATTCAGTGTTAATAGTCTCCCAGCATTCTAGGACATTCTCAAGACCCTGAGACAAGTGGGCACTGGATTTCCGCAGGAGGGACGGGGCGGTGGGCAAGAATGTCCTCACGTGTGTTGGGTTGGGACTGACTAAGCTCAGCCAAGGTCTTTGCACAAGTGAACCCAGAAAAGCGTCACTTGGTGATAAACCTCTTGGGCTACCAAAGTGCGAGGAGGGGTGTAAGGAAAGTGGGTTCTAAAGAAGCTGAGAGACAGCTCTTCCTGTGGGGGCGTGGTCACAGGAGGCTTCCAGGAGACCCTGGCTGAGTCAAAAGAGAAAGGTGGTATAGGAGGTCCTTCTGCATTTGTGTTGATTTCATTGGTTGAATAAAGAAGCTGCCTTGGCATTTTGATAGGGCAGCCCTTAGGTGGGTGGAGTAGACAGAACAGAATTCTGAGAGGAAGAAGGCAGGCAGAGAGCCGCCCACTATGGAAGCCGCCAGGTCAGGCATGCTGAATCTTTCCCGGTAAGCCACGGCCTCATGGTGACATACAGATTATTAGAAATGGGTTGAATCAAGATGTGAGAATTAGCCAATAAGAGGCTAGAGCTAATGGGCCAGGCAGTGATTTAATTAATAGAGATTTCCGTGTGATTATTTTGGGCATAAACTAACCCGGTGGCCGGGACGACCAAGCAGCCTGCCAGCCCAGGTGTAAGCCCGCACCTCCCTTCTTACTACAGAAAGGAACGAAAAGGGGCATCTTCGGCCAATGGCGCGGTGGGGCAAAGGTACCAATGCATGCTGGGAGACATAATCTCATGAGTGAGGTGGTGGAGGGACCTGATAGTGGAATAGAAGAGGTGAATAGAAAGCAAGCAACTACATCCTCTCGACCTCCCCTTCTCTCCTAGTGTCTTCCCCTGCTTGTTTCCGAAGCCAAACCCCATCCCCAACCCGAGTCTCACTAGATGGCTGGAATGTATTTAGATGAGGTCTCTGATCCTCTCTTGGTGATGTTTGCCAGCTCTCCTGCTGACAGGCTAATAGTTACACTCACCATCTCTTCACGCCCATAGCACCACCTAGTGGTCATCTCTCACACTTTGTGGAAAAGCTGCCTAACACCAGGCTCCTGTCGAGTTCCTTCACTTTCCGGTGTCCAGGAGACCTTCCGTCAGACAACTGACAGCCAGCCATGTACACGTTGACCTAAATGGCTTCTCCGATTCTCTCTCTTAGCTTTCTGTATGCCTCTGACCTAGGAAGAGAAGAGAACTCCTTTCTACTGTGTGATCAGGCAGGACATGGCTTCCCATAACAAAATACAGGACTCAAGCCTTCGAGATTTCTCAGCGACTAAATGTCCTTGCTGCAAAGCCTGGTGATTTGAGTTCCAGCCTCAGGATCCACATGATGGGAGGAGAGAAGTCAGTACTAAAAACTGTCCCTTAAACGCCATGCCCACGTGCACACAATCAAATGAATATATATATATACACACACATGCATACATGCATAGTTTTTTTTTACATACATAGTTTTTAAAACAAGCAAGATGAGCTCCTCGTGGTCCTAGGTTCCACTTGCATCTGAACAATGACTCTCAGAAGCTGTCTCAAAACCATAATAGGCTCTAGTTAGGAAATAGAGAAAATAGGCATTGGGGTCCCTTCCTCTTTCACCTTGGTGTTTTCTGACCCTTGAGCCGCCCTCTGTGATGATACTCCCTCTGTGGTAAACTCGCCGTCCCCAACAGCAACTCTCATGCCGTCACCTGCAGAAGCCACTGCTGAGCCTGGGGCTGGAAGAAGGTACACAATCAGAGTCCCTGACTCATGTAGCTTGGGGACCTACCCTGGGCACCTCAAACTATCAATGACAGTGATGAGGAAAAGAAAGAAGAACTTCTCTTCCTGAGATGCTGCTGCCAGTGTGGCAGGCAAGCATGCCAGGCCCTTGGCAGATCTTCTCTGGATGCATTTTGCAATCACATTTAGTCTTCCTCAGGGTAAGGCAAGTTTCAGAACGCAGTCAACATGGTCGGGGCACCTATGACGCGCCAGGCATTTTCTCAGCACCCTAAGTACATCTGCTCGTTTAACCCTGGCCACAGGGTACTCAGAAGTGCCATCGGTATCCCCAGTCTTCACGCAGAGATATTGAAGTGTATTGGAAAAGGCACACAGCTAGCAGATGGAACAAGTAAGACTGGAGCCTAGGCAATCCAGTTCCAGGGGTTAGCATGCCATTGTTAGCCGGGCTACCTGACCGGGAGGCTCCTAGCAAAAGCGAACCGAATAACCATGGTGTGTTTACTTAGTCGCTTAGTAAACGTTCCCAGGGAGGTACCTGATGTCAGGTATAGTTTACCTCTTGT